ATTCCTTGCAGCAATGGTGCAAGAGAATTATTTAAATTTAACTTTACTATTTTCTTGTGAAATAATTTTATATATATATGTATGTTTTGCATTTCTTGTTAGTCAAAAATTGTCTTTAATTTTATATAGCTTTATATTTTATCTTCTCTCTCCATGGATAGATTTCATATTTAAATATTCTCATCTTTTAATTTTTTAAATTATTCAGTGCAAAGTCCAAGATCAGGACTCGTCGGAACTTTGGCGATTCTGTATTTGGAATTTTTCTGGATATTATATCATCATTTTAAATCTAGTAAAATGGTATCTAGAATTTACCAGATTAAAAATATGAAATCATGATTTCTGAAATAATGAAGCATTAGTGATCTAAAGGTTATAAAAATTTTAAAAAATAGCTTAATATTTATTTGTTTACTTTATTAAACATTTCTTTCAATGCAAGTTGGTTTTAAGTTGCTTAATTTTTTTTGTGTTAATACTTTCTCTTTAATTCTATAGACAGACATAATTTCTTGTTCAGTTACCAAGTTCCATTGTTCAAGTCCTGTAATTGCTGTGTCGAGAATTCTGACTAACTTGTGAATCGAAATTTTTTCATTTTCAGTAACTTCTCTGTCACTTTCTTCATTATCGGTATCATCTTACCGCTTCTCCACATTTCTTTACAAAATCCATGATTTCGAAAATTTCACTTTTGTCTTGCGATATCCGAAAACCGTCAAATTTGCAGCTATCATCTTCATCATCCTCACCATTAAATATGGTAGTTGGCCATTAAATTATGCCAAGCATTTTTGAAAGTATCTGGAGACGCACCCTTCCACAATCTTGCAATGGTCCACACAGCAGATTTTATGCTAAAGTGGTATTTCAGAAATTCTGTAATAGTCTTGCCATTATTAAAGAAATTGAACAGGGATTTTAAAAATGTTGCTTTATATTTGAATTTTAGTGTGCACACTATTTCGCTATCCATAGGTTAAATGATGGATATATAATTTGGAGGAAAGGGTAGTATGGATACGTTATCTTTCACTAAAATTTTAAGTATGAACTGAACAGTTGTCTACAATCAGGACAATTTTTGCATCATCAGGTAAACCAACCAAATTCAAATGTTGCCGAACCTCAGGTATGAAATGATTTTCAAACCAATCATTTATTAATCCTTGTGTCATTCATGCTGTTTTATTTGCATGATATATAAAGGGGAAAGTCTTTACTTCTTTAAATGCACAAGGTCATGTAGTTTTTCCAATTACAAAAAGTTTACACTTGTGCTTTCTGCAGCATTTGCACATGTTAAAAATTGTTAGCCTTGCTCTGGAATCTTTGACACCGGTTGGAGCCTTTTCTGTAGAGGTTGCCAAGGTATTTTGTGGTACATATTGGCAGAAAAGACCAGTTTCCATCAGCGTTTTAAATTTGTTCTGGTGATAACTCTTCACTGTTAATAAGTTCAATGAATTCAATAACCAGTAATAAGTTCAGCAGCTTCAGTATCAGCTGAAGCTTTTTCACCTGAAATTTTTAATTGCCTTATACCATGACAATTTTAAAATTTGGTTAACCAACCTGTCGAATATGTGCACTCAGTTTTTAGGTTCTTCATGAAGTATTTTGGCTTCAGCCATTAGCATTGGACCCATCAATCGCACGCCCTTGTTGTGACGCTGTCCGACCGGTTTGTCATCACTTTATCATGATCGTTATTTTTACCATAAGAATAATTTTTATATTATTCATTGTAAGTGGGGTGTCAGAATCCTTAAAAAGTTCTTTTTTCTGTTTTCATATGTCATATACAGTTAACTTTCCAGTGTCATACTCCTCACATAATTTTGAGATGGGTATACCTTTATCCTTTCTTTGCAGCAATTCCACATTTTGTTTAATGAACATTGAAACATGCTTTTGCTTTGTAGATCCTGTTGCAGCTTCAGATTTAGAAATGCTTCTTCACATATCAAAATTTCAAACATTAATTTTCCTAAAATTTCTGTAATAATAACAGCCTGCAATAAATAATAAGCTGAGTCAAATCACAAAGTTAAGGAAAAGTCTATCTGCTATATTATTAATTCAAATTCTTTGGTATCAGTAAAGCATAATTTTAGCCTACCTTAATATCGTCCGCTATACATTATTGGCTGTGCTTCATGAGATTGCAATGAAAGACAAGTTGTTCTGCTAAATTTTGTCTTGCTTCTATCGTGTACTGAGACAATTAAGCCTGAATTGTATTAGTTATTTATTACGCTTATGTCTGTTTCTTGCTCATGTTTAAGGCTTGCTTATCTGAATCCTGAATAAATAAATTCTCACATTTGCTTAAGGCTTATCAAGGGCCGGTTCTAGATATCAGTCTCTGCAGTTCCTAAATTCTGTTAGCAAGCATCTTTCTAAGTTCTGAATTTTTGCCGTCCCTAAATTTTGGGTCACAGTGCTTTCACTGAATTCTAAAAATTTTATCTTCCTTTAATTTTGCTGCTCAGTGCTTCTCTAAATTCCAACAATTTTCTCTTTCCGAAATTCTGCCACCCGGTGCCACATACAAGCTCTGACGCCGGTTCTGGGTTAATGTGAATAACAAATCAGTTATTCTTAATTCAAATAGCACTAATTGTAATCTTTTGGTCTATGAGTATCATTAACAAAAGCTCTTTTTAGCATATGGAAAGAAAATTTTTAAAAATTTTTTCCTCGTCAACATTTCTTAGTGCATTTAACTTAAATCTGTAATCATCGGCAAGTCAACATAAAAGGTTACCGTACTTTTGCTATTCAATTACTAATATAAAAAAATTATTTAGAAATTGCCGCATGAGTCATTACTCAAGTTATGTCCGATGATGAAAACAAAATATAATAAATAATGATTTGCCAGTTTGGCGTGATCACACAAATTTATGCTAAAATGATTATTCCTTTAATAATGAGGTATTTTCTATACGTGCTTTATTATGGAGCAAAATCTAATTCGAATCGTAAAGAATCAAAAAAAAAAAAAAAAAAAAGAAGAAGAAGAAGAAAATACATTACATTATGCCCAAAGGGGCATTTTTCTTAATGCTTTGTGTGTTACCTTTAATTATTAAATATCATGTTCTTTGCACTTAAACCATAAAATTCAATTCATCAGCAGTATCACAAAATATTTAAAAGAGCAGTAAAAGTATATTTACAGGTGCCCCTTGGCGAAAATTGGTGGTACTTGAACACCAAGTTTGTGCATTTCTTTGACTTGTTATTTTGGCTTTGTGTAGTATTGATTTTTGCGCCAAAAATCTTCGCTACACAAAGCGAAAATAACAAGTCAAAGAATTACACAAACATGGCATCCTGCACACATCGACCGATTTTTCACTTTAAAAAAAAATTATCAGAGAATTTCACAAACTAAGCATTGCGCACTCCATCGACTTTGTCCACTTATACATCAATCTATGTTCGCTTAAAACGTCAAGGAGCAGCCAACAAAAAATATATAATCTCAATAAACTGCATTTTAAATCAAACAATGATATAACATAAAAAAGGAAATTCATCTTAGCACTACACAAAGTGAATATCCACATACCTTATTTACGAATTTACGTGTCTTTAGTAAAACAAAATTCCATAACAGCATCCAAAAACTTCCTAAAATTATCTGAGCTAGAATCTGTATACTGGCATCACCATGTAAATTCACAAAAATATCCTCTGTATTGTTGGCATCGTCCGATGTTTGACCATACGCATTTTCCTTCCTACAAACAGGACACTTAATAATGGCTACTAAGTAAGCCTTCATTTACACACCAGTCAATTAATGCTTTTTTCCCTTTTGTTCCAAATCATACAGAAACTTCAAATTAATCTTACCAGATTCAGCCATTTTACCGTGTATACCATAAAATAACAACGTACTTGTTATTCAAAATCTGACACGCACTTTCCAAATCTTTTCCCATCATTCAAATTGACCGCAATCACACAACCAATTACATCATGATAGAGTTTCCATAACATTCTACTACTCAGGTTACCATAAATGAAAAAACTTAACAATAAATGTAACAGAAACTTGGCGATAAATGAAACAACAACTTAGCAATAATCTGAGGGGCACCCTTAAATCTGTAGTGTTGCCATTGGTCATTTTGAAAGAGTTACTAATCAAAAACTCACACTTTTGTACAAAATAAGAAATAAATAATAAAACAAATTCCAAATTTGGGCTTCCACATGCCCATATTCGAGTGGAGGCGTATGTTATTCAAAATTTTTTTAGCTTTAGGTACCGTTGCTTTATCACAATATGAGAAATATACATTTGCAATATATATCACAATATATATTGCAATATACATTTGCAATGGCAATTCAGTATTGATTTTTTTAATCTCACTGTGACCTATATACATAAGTAAGCGAAATTATGTTTTTGATTCAAAAATTCAATAGGGAGTTCAGTTAATAAGTATGAATTAGGTTCATCACAATATGTTTTTACTATTTTCGCAGTGATGCCTGTCTGTCTGTGTATGCGCGGGACAATTTTTTGTTCCTCGATAACTCTTACATCAAACTAACAAAAATTGCTTTTTTGCCAGCTATGCGTTAACTTATTATTGATTGCCTTACCTGAATCACCGAGCATTAGTTCATATAGTATGGAAATCTCAACCAGAAACAGAAAATTAATTTTTATAAAAACTTAGACTACGTTCACAGGAAGGCTCTGAAATATTACAATTTTTGCTTTAGTTTAAAATTCGTAGATATTTTAAGGCATCTGTTTCATATTAGCATATATAATTTCAAAAAATAATATCTGCTCTCTGAATTTGAAATTTTTAATTTTAGAAAACAGGAATGAAGGCTACAAAGATAGGAATTCACTCTGTGGACATCAATAAACCCAGTACTAGTGAAAAAATTTTTGATCCCACTCTCCAAACACCTCCATCAAAGAAAAAAATTAGCAGTGTTCAAACAATTGAAGAAAACCTGCAAGCTGGCGTGTGCACTTTTTATGCAGCGAGTTCTAGTTTCTCAGATAGAGCAGTTCAATGTGAAATGAACAGTGACTCAAATTTTCAAAATTCTTCAACCATGAGTGTTGCTCCTATGATTCAAGAAGATATTGCCATTGATTCAGAAGCCAATAATGGAAGTGGGGCCATGAGTTTTGTGAGTTCTGAAAATCAAATATATCATTTATTTGAATCAACGACACCAGATTTAATTGTTGATACGACAGATGATGACAGTGATATCGATATTGTTAGCTTGAGAACAAATGCTAGGGCATCTGAGAATGTGAATTCACTTGTTGCGAGTCATGATCATACTTACATAGATATTTGGAATCCTAACAATAACGTTGAAATGGTAACTGCAGAAGTGAATAATGGTAAGTGGTTTTTCTTCAGAATATATTCCTGAAATTTAACCTTTATTTCAGAAGATTCATCAGTTTTCTAATGCATTCATATACGTGCAAATCCTACAGAACTACCGAAACTTAATTTGTCAAAAGCTTTAAATTTTGCATGTGTGGTATATTTTTAATTTTTTTTGTATCAATGAAAGTTTTTTTATTTATTAAATTATAAATGATATATATTATTATTTACAAAATTTTAAACTAATTTTCTGTCTCTTATTCAGGCATAGCCAAACTACAGCTTGTGTTATAACGAATGTATGTCATTTTCTTAATACTGTTTAAAATAGATTTTTTGTAAAAAGTCTTTTTACCAGTTATTAATTTAACTTTTTAAAATTAAATTGTGTTTAGTAATTTTAAGAAAGTTAAAATTGTGTGCTATATGTGTGTGTGTTAACACGCCAAACGGGAAAATATGGGATGTGTGTAAAAGTTTTGCCGTTCTTCAGTAAAAGAATTCCTCTGTGTGGTAGAATGTGTATAGTCCATTATGTTGTAGAACACATTTTATTGGTTCTCCGTTGTTGTTTATAAAGTACTGTGTGTGGTTTATGTTAAAGGGTGCCCCTTGGATTATCGCTAAGTTGTATTTTCATTTTTGGTAAACTGAGTATTTTACGGTGAATGTTTTGGAAACCCTATTATGGCATGATTGGTTGTAATGCATGACTACAATGATTTTAATTGTTGGGAAAATAATTCTTAGGGCTTATTTCTGTATTGGATGTCTGTTAGGAAGTATGTTGGTTATTTTTTGCTGTACACCGTAAATTGGCTCCCGCTAGTAAGTTTAACCTGAAGCATCTATACAATTTAGAATGAATGGGAAAGAAAACATTGATTGACTGGTGTGTAAATGAAGATTTAAATGGCTTTGTTCACCTCTCGGTAAATTACGCGGTGGCATTTAAGGATTGTGAAAGCGGAACTCTTATCAGTACTATGGAAGGTATGTGGGGTGTAATAAAATGTGATTTTCGAAAGAAATATCTCCGGCAGTGTGGAAGATATTTTTGATTTTTACTTTTGTGTGTACTTTTCTGTTTTGCCGGCGCAAGCGATAAAGTCGTTAGTAACTGTACAACCGATGCCAAACGAAATATCCTCGTTGATAAGCCTTTAACTTTTACATTTTCAAAACAAGTCGCAGCATTTCTTATCAGATTGATTGTTTCTTTCAGTACTGGCATACAATTACATAGAATTTTTACCAGATAGTTCAATTTTATGCTCTAAGGCCATTCGCGAGCGGTAATTAATTAGGTTGCAATCACCCCGCTGACCCGATGGAGAATATATAGAAAAGGCGAAGACAAGGGTTAAATTCATCAATTCTAATGAGAATGCACTAGCGAAGTATATTTTTGGTGTATAATTTGGAGAAAAATATACCATAAATATACCAGATAATTACTGAGAGAATTGGATTTTTGTAGCGTAGTTTATGCGAGATGAGATCGCTTGTGGTCACGTGATATGAACCGGCGAATCAGGATGTTGTACGTTGAAAGCATTGTAAATTCTTAAATTAATGTCTTTTTACAAATTTATTGTCTTTATTTATTGGCTTTTTACAAAATTTTAAACGACATTAAAATGTTTATACCTTCAAAATAAAAAATTCTTAGAAGTGACATTTGTCAACATTTTTTTATGTGTATACTATGTGTTTTTGCCAATAAAATCTGCTTGGCGAGATTTGCGCTGGCGAAACAGAAAAGTACCCGTTTGTGAAATTATGTGGTGATGGCAGTATACAAATTCTAGTTCAGATAATTTTAATCAGTTTTTGGGTGCTTTTAAGGCATTCCATGTGCTACACATCAGACTCCATTTTTGTATTATTTCCTTGTTTTATTTTGATTTAAAATACAGTTTATTGAGAATATAGTTCTTTTATGTTTGAGTTATGTTCTTTTACATTATGTTTTTGATGCTATTTTACTTGGGGAAAGTATTGCACGTAAACAGGAATGGAGCCAAAAAATTGCCAATTTTCGCCAAGGGTTACCCTGATATATATTTTTCCGAGTACTCCCAATTTATTGGATCACTGCTGCAAAATTCCTCTCCTGTATTATGGAAACTCTGTAGACCATGGCTAATATTTTCTGCTTTGTAAGCTAGAAGAGAATTGTGTAATAAGCAAAAGAATTTTTTTTAATAAGATCATCTAATAAATACAATGAGTGCATTGCAAATTCACAACTATACTGTAACTTCTGACTTGAATAGATTGGGGGGGAAGGGGTTACATTGTTGTTTGTGTTGGAATGTAACCCCAGAAGTTTTGGTGTTCTATTGAATTTCCTTTCCTTATAAATGAATTTCCTTATGTTGATAAATGTATTTATTGGTACTTAGTCTGTTATATGTATTCTATTATATTGTATAACTAATTTTATTGGCTCTCCATTGTTCTGTATTGCCATTTATTGGGTAACTGCTGCAAAATTTCTCTCTTTTGTTATGGAAGCTCTGTATTGCACCACAAAGGTTTTCTTCTTTGTAGCTGGAAGAAAATTGTTTGCTAACCAAAAGAAGTTTTATTTTGCTGAAGGATTATCTAATAAACACAAGAAGTGCAGTGCAAGTTCCCAACCAAACTGTAACTTCTTTTGAATCTGAACAGATTTGGGGGGGGGTTGCATTGTTGGTTTAGATGGGACTTGCTGACAATTCAATTGTTATAATTGCTTTTCTCCTAGAAAATTGTAAAGGCAGTTCTGTATAACTCTCTATGTAATATATTTTGGTTTGCTGGTAGCAATTTTTAGTGGAAACTCTCTTCTGAAATTTCACTGGATACTTAGCAGAATCTGTTTTAAATGTAACCCTCATTTTGCTGTGGGTCCTGAAGATTCATCTGGCCTTCAAACAGTCGTGTGTCATTTAATATTATTGTAATGAACACAATTTTTATTACCTTTTCATGCAAAAATCTGGCTTCGTTGTGCGAGTAAGATTTGAAATGTCAATGACACCTGTTCCTACCTCTTTTGCATAAGTCATATTATACCAATTGATATTTAGATATATTTTTATTGTATTAACATTATTATATATATTATAATACCAGTATATTTCTTTCTTTTTTGCTAACTTCAGACTATAACCTCTGTAGACTTTGTCAATATCTATTATGTTAAAAATGTGTAAGCCATTATAGCCGCAAGATAATAAAATATGGGGTGGGAAAACATATATTGGCTAAGATTATGATAGAGACCTTCTTGTTTTAACCATTTGATTCATAACATCAGTGCCGTAGTTCGTAAAATTACAATTGTAAATTTGGTAAATTATGATTTATTGTATTTTATTAGTTTATAATAAATCTAATGCACAGCAGAAGAGTTGAGTTAAAATATTAACAATTTAATTGTATTTCTCAGTTAGTGAGAGTAAATTTAGCTAATGCATATTTAAAAAAAAATTAAAAAGGAAGAAAGGAGAAGATAACTAATTCAGAGGGTTGAAATAATTGGATAACATCGAAATGTTTAGCATATCGACATCTTCGTTCTGGTATTTTCTAATTTTGGAATTATGCATTAATTGAAAGCTCAATTAGGAGTTGGAAAGGTGCTAAAACTTCTTTTCCTTTTTTTTTTTTTTTTTTTTATGGTAGTGAATGCAAATAGCAGTAATTCAGGTATAATAATATAAGCTGAAAAATTTATGTAGATTGCAGATATAAATGCCGTTTCTGGTTATATGTCATCCTATTTTTTTGTTTGTATTTATACAAAAGGTATAACTATGTGCTTGTTTTGTTTCTTTGCTTATTAATACGTATGTATATGTTAATTTATACGTGATTAAATTAGTAAAGCTACCAATGCCAAAAAGCTGCCAAGGTTTTCTTCGTTATATTATTGTTATGACTAATAAAATTTTATATAATTTATATTTTCTAAATACTTGCTATTGTATTAATTTAAGCATAAAAGTATTTAATATATGTATTTATATCATCTAATTAGAGATTTAATTATTTTGAAAATTGTCATTACATGGAAATCATAAATTGATGAAGGGAAAAAAATCAAAACTATCTAATTTAAAGAAAGAAATAAGTTTTGTAATCAAAAAAGGTTATGACCTTTTTTAAACTCTATTTTTGAATGAGTTTATGTTTAGACTTGTGGGAAGAGAAAGATTTCTGGCGAGAAAGATGTTCTAAAAAGACTTAAGATTTAAAATTGACATAGTCATAGTTTGTAGTGGAATATATCAAATACAGTATTATATGTCTTTTTTAGTGATGATTTAAATTTTTATAAATGTAAAGATGAGATCTTCAATCCATGTAAAACTTTTCAGTTGAGGATGAATTCTTTTTGATAGGCAATAATGAATGACCTTTATTAAGCATTGAATGTTTGATAAGAAGGATGATAAGAAGGAATGTTTGATAAGAAGGAAGGGCCTCTTCAGACTTAAAACATGTTTTATGTCCGAGGTCAGCTTTCAGATCTTTAGCTTTTTCCTACAATACTCCTTAACTTGCTTCTGCAAAAATGTTTTCAAATTTACATTAATAATGGCATAAGCAATCATTACCGGGTTTGTGCTTATTTTGGGGTAAAATTATTATCCTTATTACCTTATTAATTTTTTGAATGTATAGCTGTTTAATAACTATTTATGTCATATCTGTTTGTCCTTATGTTAAAAAAATACTTTTAATGTCAAAGAAGATGCACAATATTTACAATACTTTTCACAAGTTTTGACGTCTTAAAAGATTTTGTTCAAATTTTATATTTCTGCTTGAAAAAGCTAGTAGTTATGCCTGTTATTGCTAGTATGTTATATTTTCACTGGTTTATATTTGTCTTAAGTTGAAGCCTCTTTCCTTACACACTACACACATAATCTTTTCCTCTTTCACACTAGATTGATTTGTACAAAACCATCATTTATTGCCTTTTTACTCTTTCATTTACCTGAAAAGACATTATCCATTCTGTTAAGCTCAGCCGAAGAGCAAAGAGTAATGGATTTTCGAAGGATTGTTTCAAATAACTGCTTCTTTTCGATCTATAACCGTCTACACCAGTCGGAACTTCTAGATTTAAAATACATACTGAATATGCACGAAAATGCTTTGAATTGCATTCTTCTCCAGAGCACCAAAATCTGCTTGGATACTTCAATTGGTGCTCTTATTAATCTCATAAAAAGTGCCAAATAAAAACACCTCAAATAAATGAGTGATTCTGCATCTGACCCCTTTACTTTACCCTACTGAGGACAAATGATCAACTACATCACATATGCGTAACCTCAAAATTAACGGCGACACACATGACAACAGACCAGGTTCTCTCAACCTTACACTATCATGCATCAACAAATCAACTGAGCACGCCCAATCACTGCAGCCACAACCCATCAAAACAACAATCAATCCCATCAATGCACTGTACACATAATGCAGTCTCAGTTCACAATGCCCAATAGTATCTCCTCGTATGGCATTAGAAATGCTTTGGAGAAGAGTATGTAACAATCTCAAGAGCTAATCAAATGCTCACGGTACAAAGCAGTTTAAATATCAGAATCTGTTGCATGGGAGCTCTTTTGCAACAGTGGTATAATATTCAACTGCCATAGAACAGATCCAGGATTGAATCACCATCTTCCAGAACTTGTGTGCTGTTGCACTTCTCATTGGGGCTAGTAGATGGCGACATGAGCAAGCAACTACAAGCAGCACCAAGCGAACATGCCACAATGTGAAAACAAATATATTGACAACTAGGTATTAAATTTTCAGACTAACATTTATTTAAAGTAGTTCTAACAAATTTAATTAATCATTAAATAGCTTACTTAATTTAAACAGAAAGAAATTATGAAAACGTTAACTTTGCAGAAAAGATTTTCCAAATGTGACAGCACTTCAGACTTAATTCTTCCTTTTTACACTTGACGATGTTTCAATTCTGATAAAGTTTGTAGCCTTGGAGAGAAGTTACTAGAAATTATCTTCATCACAGATTGTTGAAGCTCATTGGTCAATCTTTTTTTTTTTTCTTATTAATTTTCAATTGTATTGAAAAGCTGCTCATATATAAATGTGCTCCCAAACAAAATGATTATTCTTAGTCGAAAAATTCATAACTGATTTATTTTATGACCAGTGAAGGTCAAAGGGTAAAAATTTATATAAATTGTATCTTAAAATCTTTGAATAAGATTTATATCACACTCTAAATTAGCTCCATTTGTATATTTTCAAATGCGTTTTTACATTAGTTTTTAATAGTAACGAAAATAATATAAACTAGGACTTCAAATAATTAAAATCTTCAGTCTTTGTAACAGTGTATTTGCAACAAATTTGTAATTGGAAATATCTTCACATGCCGTATAAAATTGCTTCGGGAGTCTCCCAAACCTCTTCCCTTCCACCAGTCCACACAAGAGGACTTTCGGCTCGCCGCATGTTTGCCGCCATGCTGCACCGACACTATGCATTTACAAACATCCATGTCTTGAACTTTCGATAAATAAATAAAATAAATAAAAGAATAAACCCCACACAGTATGGAATGAAAAAGGTTAGAAATAGAAAAAGACGTTCGTTTATGGAATGGAGTTTGGTACAAAAAACTTAGGCCAAATAGAACAACAACAAACCAAACAGCATTACTAATAGATATGGCCTCTGCTAACAGCAATGACTGTGTTGCATTGTTTGTGGGAATTGAACCCGGGCCCTTCGGTACTGTAGTAGGCTCCCCTAACCACTATATACCATCTGAGCGACGTGCACCTTTTCCGGGGGGCCATTGGTCCCAACTTTGTTTTTATGAATGTCAATCCATGGCCACACAAAACTTATGCTGTTCAGTATTTTCTGGAGATATCCGTAGAATGAATTAGCCAGCATGCTCTCCTCTTTAAAATATCACTGAATATGTGTGGAATACTTTAGGGAGATGTTTGGCGGCGCAAAATCTTACCTGCTGGAGAACATCAGACAATTGGAACAGATGCTCCTTGAAGAACTCTTCAATACCAAACTAACAGTTCTTGGGATAATATTGACAAACAATGCAACACAGTCATTGCTGTTAGCAGAGGCCATATCTTTTAGTAATGCTGTTTGGTTTGTTGTTGTTCTATTTGGCCTAAGATTTTTGTACCAAACTTCATTCCATAAACGAAAGTCTTTTTCTATTTCTAACCTTTTTCATTCCATACTGTGTGGGGTTTATTCTTTTATTTATTTTATTTTATTTTATTTATTTATTTATTTATTGCTATAATCCTCTTTAAGTACAACATTGTGCCTCTATGGTATGAATTTCAAACCTCTCATTTGGTATAGGCTAAAATCAGAAAAGTTGCTTAAATTTTATGCACTAGTATGTGTATATATAAAATGCACGTGTCCTTGCCTATCTAAAATTTTATGCATAATACATATTTGTATGTACAGTCAAAAGTCGTGAATCCGGACTCGTCGGGACTTCGCCGATTCTGGATTATCGATTTTTCCGGATTATAGATCATCAGTTTAAATCTGGTAAGATGGCATGCAGAAATTATAAAATTAAAAATATGAAACTGTAATTTATGAAATAAAGAAAAATTATGATCTAAAGGGTATCAAAATTTACAAAAAAAATAAAGCTTAATATTTATTTACTTTATTAAACATTTCTTTCAATGTAAGTTGTTTTAGTAGCTTCGTTTTTTATGTGATAATACATTTTCTTTAATTCTATAAACAGACATAATTTCTTGTTCAGTTACAAAGTTCTGATGTTCAAGTCTTATAATTGCTGTGTCGAGAATACCGACTAATTTGTCAATCGAAATTTTTTCGTTTTCAATAACCACTGTCACTTTCTTCGCTATCGGAAGCAAATTATAATGAGGAGGAATTTGATTTAAATCATATCAAAGACGGAGTACATCGAGATGAAATACTACATTTAGTAAGGAATTATAAGCCAAATAAAATAAAAAATCTGCCCTGAAGATAAGGATAGTGCTGACAGATCAACTTTCAAGTCATTGCACACCGCAGCGTTAAAGATAAACAAACGTTAAAGTTTAGATAAACAAAGGATATGCCTTTATCCACTTTTTGCAGCAATTCCACTTTTTGTTTAATGGACTTCGAAACATACTTTCGCTTTGTAGATCCTTTACATATTAGTAAATATATATCAGAAATTCTGACATAATCGAAAGTTCAAGCTTACTTTTATAAAATTGCTCTAACAGTCTGCAAAAAATAATAAGCCGAATCCAATTCGAAGATTAAGGAACAACTCAATCTGCAACATTAACTGAATTAGATAATTTTAGCTTAGCTTATACCGTCCGTTATACATTAAACGCGCATTCGGAAACGTATTTTGCACACGCGTATTCGCAGCCGTAAAGGTCTTACGCGCATGCGTCTATGTTACGCATGCGCAGAAAGTTTGTAGCTTTGAGTTCCGAATTATGGGTGTCTGAATTAACGACTTGTAAATGTTTTATGAAGAATAATTTTGTTGATAGCAATTGGTAGTTGTGAACTGTATATTAATTTATAAAAGTCAAGTTGAGAAACTTAACAACATTTATTTTCTTTCAAGCACAATAATGCCGCTTAAAAGGGCAAAGAGTGACTAAGGAACAATTAACAATTGACTGCCGCTTTGTTCGGGCAGAGGGAATGGAGACTCGGTGTGGAGAGTGCATCCCTATCGCGTACTGATTAGTACAGGACTCTCGCCACTGACCATATGTGGCGCTGCAAACGTTAAGCCAGTACAAATACACAGAAATATTCTGAGATGGAACAAATTTATTATTAAAAAAAGTATCATTTTTTGATTACCTGTATACCCTATTCCTGAAAAAAAAGCCAGCATTTTGCATCTATTTTTCTCCAAGCTGAGATATGAAAGACAACAGCCATTTTCAGGAAGGCTGATGTAGCAAAAATTGCATAAAACAGCAACTACTTGACAAAATTGGCTTTTTTCAAAATAGAGGACGAAATGGCTCTAATACATACAAAATTGGCTCCTATATCCCATGGGAGAAAATTAAAAAAGTGTCAGAAAAATGCACAAATTTTGATCCATAGAATTTGATTGTTTTTGAAGTACAACTTCAAGGAATGCAAAAGTGCATTTTCTATTGTGAGGCAAAACACTGTACTAAAGAAGTGCAAATCTTTCTTAATAGGCAAATTTCACAGTCCCATTATGATTCCTTATGAGAAGAAAAAAAAAAAAAAAGAGCGGGTTGTGACATGAATATATTTTGCCAATGTCATGGGTATGCAGATAATCAAAAAGTACCAAAAAATTTAACCTTTATATTTCATTTTTGCAAGATGCATTTTAGTAATTTTATCCTAATACTGTAAGAATAATAGAATACCCATTAATCATATATTTAGCAGCAGTTCCATCATATAAAATTATATTTGATATTCCTATATTTTGTGTTTGACATTTACGTTACAAGCTTTATCTTCTGTTTGAAATGTTATGAGATTATGATGAATGTAAAATAAGTCATATTCAATTGTTGTAATAAAAAAAAGCAATGAAAATCATTTTTTGTGTGAATAACTGAGAGCTAGATGATTAGAAATTTTTATAAGCCATCTCTCTATTTTGGTATAATTTTTTTCATATGTATGTATTTGTTATGTTGCTTTATAAAAGTAAAGAAAATATTTTTCCCATTACATTTTTTCCCCCTTATCTTGGGTTGTTTTCCAAAGCTTTATAAAGTTTGGGTATTAGAAGTTAATTAGTAATTCTGCATGTATTAAAGTGAAATTCATTGGTTTACACTGCTTTATTCTTTTTGTATTTTATGTTAGAACCATCATCAAGCCATAACAGTGAGCGATTCCAAGCCAAGAATTGTAGCAATAAAGCAAAAGAAAATGATTGGCCAGCAGCTCCTGATCTACAGTTGGATTGTTTGTTCACCGATGATGATGATGATAGCAGTGTGGAAGTTGTTGGAGTTGAACCACCTAGGTAATAGATTTAATGACATTTTCTTTACAGGTTTCCTTGTTACTGTTAAAAAAAAAAAAAAAAAAAAAAAAAGAAGATGTATTTTTGATAGAGATGCAAGAGATATGTAGCAAACATCTGTTATTTAAAATATCTAGCTTAAATGTAAAATATTTTGTACTCGTTATTCGACCACTGAATGTTTATATTTGTTTAATATTGTTTACATTTATCAATAGCATTATTGTATGTTACTTATTACTATATTTACAGGTAACATTGTAGTTATTATTTACATTATAGGGTTCATATGGTCCTCAAAAGTCCTTAGGTTTTTTGGAATCGAATTCTGGCCCTTAAAGTTCTTAATTTCATCCAAAATCGGCAGAAGGTCCTTAATTTTAATCATCTGAAATTTCTGCCTGTTTTTACGACTGCCATTTTGAGTGTGAATTAGCATTTTGGAGGAATATTTTTGGTGATTCACTGATAAATATGGTCATGTTTTTAAATTGGTTAATGAGTTATAATTTGTTCCCATTTCTAATACAAACATTGGGATACTCTAAATTCTGGGCAAAAAGTTAAACATAAGCATTTCAAATCGACCATTTGATGCCCATTATTTTAAAATTTCAACATCTGAAAATATATGTCATAAAACTTTGAAATTTATACAGAAAGCAAACTCCTTGTCCATTTCCAAAACAAAAAGATAAAAAATATTAATTCAATAATTTTGTGAGCATTTTTTTTTCTTTTCTGTCCTTTCCTTTCTTTTCTTTTTTCCCCCTTTCTTTAACATGTTGCAATCTGGCTTAAAGCAGAAAAACAAAATTGTTGATTCTTCTTTGGGCATGATATGATATTGCTTGGAAACAATTTTAAGATGATAAAGGCACTATATATCACACCATTTTTCTTGTCTCTGTATAGTTTTCTCTAATATTGATTTTATTTATTTTCCTCTTTTTGCTTGAAAGAATTACTTGGAAAGAAATTAAGCTTACTATAGAAGCCTTCTAGTGTTTTACAAGTGCTGTATTTTTTACCCTTTTTTTATAGGTAGGTATTTGTTTAGGATTCATTTAATTTTATTAATCTTGAAAATAATAGAGATTAAAGAGTTAAGTGTTCAGAAATATTTGCAATTTAGCAATAAACATTTGTAATAAAACACTTTTTTCTATTTTGTTGTTCTCCTCATATATACACAATGATATGTTTTTGCTAAAGGAAAACATCAGAGAATTGTGTAACTTGGCATATCAACTGATGTGCTACGCATATACCTGGGTTGCCACATAAATACTTTTTCATGATCTCATGGAATGCCATGTAGCTATTTTAGAGGCACGTTGCATTGCCTCATGAATACTTTTTTTTTTTGCCAGTTTCAGTGTATGTGTAAATAATCAAATTACCAAAATTCCTTTGAATTTACATATGAATTCAGTATTCTCTTCATAATTCTGTCATAACTTCTAGATTAAAAAATTTGTTAAGTTATTCTTGAAGATTAAAATTATATATTAATGAAGTTTAACAAAAGTTTCCCGCCACCGCAAACAGTTTGTGTTGGCGTCTTTAATCACATTTTGTCAAATAATTTTTGGCATTTGAAAGAAAGAGACTTGCTTTAGGACACCGTGTTGTGAAATTTGTAAAAAAAATATCGTTATCATTAAGTACAAGGTGTCTGAAATGGAACTATCATGCTACCAGATTAGAAACATCGTTTACTTCCAGTTCTGTTGTAAAAAGTCAGCTATAAATCACCAAATCATATATACAGCTTTAAGTACTAATGTTGTATCGTATGACACTGTGAAGGTTTGGTATGGAAAGTTCAAAAAGAAGAACTGTGATATTCAAGAAGCAGAGGGCTCTGGCCTGTCTACTGATGTAGTGAGACCCACCTATGAGAACTTGTGGAAGAATATCAGTACGCAACCACTCAAGAGCTTGCTAAGGAGTTGAAAGACGTTAGTGTCGTGTCCATTAGTCGCGCTATGCTTCATATAAACTTGACGTACGAGTTCAATCGCTGTGTACCACATGAGCTGACTCAAGCAGACAAAGACAGACATGTTCAGGCCTACACTAATCTGCTCGAATATCAATGCAAGGACAAAATTCTGGACCAGATCATCACTTATGATGAAAAGTGGACTTACTTCAACAGCACAGGTTGAAAAGGGGGTTTGTCAGTGGCCAATGAGCCCGTCGGCAGTGGGCTTAATTTAATATTGCATTATTTGAATTTAATTACATTAATACTTTCATGACATCTGCAGAGCAATAGCTATAACTTAATTTCTTACCACAGAAACTGTTGTTTCATTTTTAGTTATGAGTGAAGTCAAACATTTTGTTCTTTTATTTGTGTGGCACCTGAACATGATTTCACACTTTAAAATTTAACTATCTAAATCAGTTTCTGTCTTACGTGAATCAACTTTTTTTTTGTTTTATTTTTCACAGTGAGTATACTTTTAACTAAGTCTAACTGTAAGCCCTAGGGTACCATACAAAAAGTTAGATAAAGTTAGATGTAGGTTAGGTAATTTGACTAACCAAATCAATATGTTTACCTCTATTTTATTTTATATCTTAAATTAAATTAATAATTCAGTATTTGTATCTTGGAACTTGATTTGAAGCTACATTTAAATGTTATAAAACTAAAAAAATGTCAATTTAGTGTGTTGTGAAGCAGAATAGTTTTATAGACACCAATGTTCAACTAAACATATGGGAAGTGCTGCAGCTATTCAAGATATATTGATACACACTACATACAATGGCCTCCTCTGGGAGATGTCATTGATTTCATACGCCATTGTAGAATTTGACGTCTCCGAGACGACGTTAAGAACTGTCCTCGGTGAATGCCGCACAGTATATTATTATTGTTACATAGCAATGTAAATTTGAAAATAAAACGCATTGTTTCTAAGCTCACACATGAGTGTCCAAAATAAATGGTATTCTTCGGATACGTATTTTATTTGTATGTCATGGGGTTAATTATGTTAAATTAGTAAACTTCGGATGCACTCTATTTTATTAATGTTTATATGTGAGGATTAAAAAAAAATGGGTAATTAATGTATATAATATTTATTCATGTATTTATCCTCTGTGTATTTTTTCCTTAATTTTTTCAGCTTATGATTTAAATACTAATTTGTGATGATATCTTTTGCAGCTTATTGTTTAAAAACTAAATTGTAATGGTAGCAACATGTAGAGTCTGGATAGAAAGTACAGTGTGTAAATAAAAAGATTTGCATTCAAAGTAATAACTATAACTGACTTTCTGTAATATAGAATACTGTCATACTAGTATATCTGGTACCTACTAGTTAAAGCAGCAACCATGCATAAGTGCTAAAACTGAGAAATATTATCACCCAAATGTGCCAATATCAAATGCTGATAAAGGCTTATATGGTGGCCGCTTTAAGAGGCAAGTACCATAGATCTGTTTGTATGTCTTCTTAATCTGCTAAGTTCTTTTAAATTATTCCTTCAAAAATGTTATACAGTCAAAAGTCGTTAATCCGGACCTCAAAACTACAAACTTTCTGCGCATGCGTGAACGCATAATGCGTTGCGTTCACGCATGCGCGTTTAATGTATAACGGACGGTATAAGCTAAGCTAAAATTATCTAATTATCTATTTCAGTTAATGTTGCAGATTGCATTGTTCCTTAATCTTCGAATTGGATCCGGCTTATTATTTTTTGCTGACTGTTAGAGCAATTTTATAAAAGTAAGCTTGAAATTTCGATTATGTCAGATAGAATTTCTGATGCTGGAGCTGCCTAAGGATCTACAAAGCGAAAGTATATTTCGATGTCCATCAAACAAAAAGTAGAATTGCTGCAAAAAATGGATAAAGGCATATCCTTTGTTTCTCTAACCATTCCGAAATCTGTTTATCAATTTCAGGCTGCTCTGCGGGGAGGGGGGAAACGTCGCGGTGCGCAATAAACTGGAAGTTGATCTGTCAGCACTATCCTTATCTTCAGGGCAGATGTTTTTATTTTATTTGGCTTATAATTCCTTACTAAATATAGTATTTCATCTTGATGTACTCCGTCTTTGATATGATTTAAATCAAATTCCTCATCATTATAATTCTCTTCCGATAGTGAAGAAAGTGACACAGAGGTTATTGAAAACGAAAAAATTTCGATTGACAAAGTAGTCGGTATTCCCGACACAGCAATTATAGGACTTGAACAGCGGAACTTTATAACTGAACAAGAAATTATGTCTGTTTATAGAATTAAAGAGAAAGTATTATCACATAAATGAAGCAACTTAAACAACTTACATTGAAAGAAACGTTTAATAAAGGAAACAAATAAATATTAAGCTTTTTTTTTTTGTAAATTTTCATACCCTTTAGATCATAATTGTTCTTTATTTCATAAATTACATATTTTTAATTTTATAATTTCTGCATGCCATCTTACCAGATTTAAACTGGGGATCTATAATCCGGAATCGCCGAAGTCCCGACGAGTCCGGATTAAAGACTTTTGACTGTACTTGTATCATTTCTTCTCCTTGATTTTTAGGGAGGGGGAGCAATTAGTAATAATAGGAAAAATATATGACTGGTTGTGTGTACTTTAGCTTGTTTGAAATGTTTTGGTTTTAACATTTTAAAATTCTTTATTGATATTATTTGAAATTTATTAATTATGAATTTCAATTTATGTTCTTTGTGAAATATTAGTTCTAAATTTCTTTATGTCTTTAATGATAATTTTTCTGCAGCTGAATGTGCAAAAATACTAGGCATGTTTATTTTTGGTTTTCAAAAGAATTGTTTTGTAATTAATTCAGTAATAGTAATGTGTAATTGTAATATGTGTCAGTAATGGTAATTGTAATGTGTGTGTCAGTAATGGTAATTGTAATGCATGTGTCCGTAATGGCAATTGTAATGTGTGTGTGTGTGTGTGTGTGTATATATATATATGTATACTTGGCTAAAATGGATAACATGACATCTTTTTATTTGTAATGAAATGAAGTTAACAGTGTTAATTTTTTAGGCCTGTAGCAAAGCCATGTAGGTCTAGATCTGCTCGAAGTTCGTCTCAGACAAATTCATCACCTGCAGCTCGTAATAATCGTAATCTTAGTATAAAGCTAGAGAGACCCATTGTAGTTGATTTAACGCAGTCTGATGATGATACACAGACTACTACTACTACTACAGTGAACAGAACACCTGTCCCAACGACTAACAGTGGTGTAAGGTAAGGATAAAAAAAACAAATATAAATTGTTTCAGTTTCTATATTTTTGCACACTTTTTATATTGCAGTTATGCGTTTTTTAAATTTCATAAAACCTGTTTATATCAGTGTGAAATATTTGTACAGTCAAAAGTCGTTAATCCGGACTCGTCGGGACTTTGGCGATTCCGGATTATCGATTTTTCCGGATTATAGATCACCAGTTTAAATCTCGTAAGATGGCATGCAGAAATTCTAAAATTAAAAATATGAAACCGTAATTTATGAAATAAAGAACAATTATGATCTAAAGGGTACAAAATTTACAAAAAAAAAGCTTAATATTTATTTGTTTACTTTATTAAACATTTCTATCAATGTTAGTTGTTTAAGTTGTTTCGTTTTATGTGATAATACTTTCTCTTTAATTCTATAAACAGACATAATTTCTTGTTCAGTTACAAAGTTCCGCTGTTCAAGTCCTATAATTGCGGTGTCGAGATTATCGACTAATTTGTCAATCGAAATTGTTTCGTTTTCGGTAACATCTGTGTCACTTTCTTCACTATCGGAAGCGATATTTTCTGGATCTAGAACCATACTACATATTTCGCTGTCCGTTAATTGATTGATGATTGGTGCATTGTCGTTGCAATGAAAAACTTCTCTTATATCATCTTCATTTATTACCGCTTCTCCACATTTCTTTACAAAATCCAATAACTGAAAAATTTCACCTTTAGTTTGCGATGTCCGAAAACCTTCAAATTCGCCGCTATCATCTTCATCCTCCTCACCATGAAATATGGTAGATGGCCATAAATTATGCCAAGCGTTTTTTAACGTACTTGAAGACACATCCTCCCACGATCTTGCGATGCTCCACACGGCAGATTTTATGCTAAAAAATTTCAAAAATTCTTGAATAGTCTTGCCACTGTTCAAGAAATTTAACATAGATTTTAAAAATGCTGTTTTATATTTGCATTTCAGCGCGTGCACTATTCCCATATCCATAGGCTGAATGATAGACGTACAATTTGGAGGGAAGAATAACACAGATACATTATCTTTCACTAAAACTTTAAGTGAAGTATGCGCCGAACAGTTATCAACAATCAGAACTATTTTTGAGTTATCAGGTAAACCAACTGAATTCAAATGTCGCTGAGCCTCGGGTATAAAACGATTTTCAAACCAATCATTCATCAACACTTGTGTCATCCATGCTCTTTTATTTGCGCGATATATAACAGGGAAAATCGTTACTCCTTTAAACGGTCGAGGTTGTGCATGTTTTCCGATTACGAAAAGTTTGCACTTGTGCGTTCCTGCAGCATTTGCGCAGGCTAAAATTGTTAGTCTCGCTTTGGAATCTTTGACACCAGTTGGAGCCTTTTCTGTAGAGGTTGCCAAGGTATTTCGCGGTACATATTGCCAGAAAAGACCAGTTTCATCAGCATTGTAAATTTGTTCTGCACATAATTGTTCACTAGTAATGAATTCGATGAATTCATCTGCAAATTGTTCAGCAGCTTCAGTATCAGCTGAAGATTTTTCACCAGAAATTTTTAATTGTCTTATACCATGGCGATTTTTAAATTTTGTTAACCAACCTGTTGAATATGTGCACTCTCCGTTTAAGTTCATTTCTTCATGAAATATTTTGGCTTGAGCCATTACCATTGGACCCGTCAATGGCACGCCCTCGCTGCGACGCTGTCTGACCCATTCAATCATCACTCTGTCATGATCGTCACTTTTAGCATAACGAACCCTTTTTCTGTTACTCATTGCAAGTGGTGTGTCGGAATCCACAAAAAAATCAAAAAGTTCCTTTTTCTTTTTGCTTATGTCATATACAGTTGACTTTCCAATGTTATATTCCTTGCATAACTTTGAGACAGGTATGCCTTTATCTAATTTTTGCAGCAATTCCACTTTTTGTTTGATGGACATGGAAACATACTTTCGTTTTGTAGATCCTTTGGAAATTCCAGCATCGGAAATTCTATTTGACATAATTGAAAGTTCAAGTTTACTTTTATAAAATTGCACTAACAGTCTGCAAAAAGTAATAAGCGGGATCCAATTCGAAAATAAAGAAACAACACAATCATTAACATTAACTGAAATAGATAATTAGATCATTTTAGCTTACACCGTCCGTTATACATTAAACACGAAGGCGAAAACGTATTCTGCACCTGCGCGCACGCATATGCGCAGTAGTCAAAGTCTTACGCGCACGCCTAAAACGCCTGTGCGCATGTGCCAACGCGGCGCATGCGCAGAAAGTTTTTAGTTTTGAGGTCCGAATTAACGACTCTTGACTGTATTAAGTGATGGTCATTTGTGTGTGAATTACAGAGTATTAGTAATATTCAGTTTTTGGTCATGGGCAGGGCAATTTTGTGGCAAAATTAGTCTCCAGTCAAAAAAATTTTAATTTCAATCTGAATAGTTTTGTTTTTGTTTTTGTTTTGCAAGTCATCTTATTAAATATATAATTTAAATTTGTGTACTAGATTTTGTTGATAAGAAAGAGTATATGGCTTTTCGGTTGGCAGAGTTCTTTCAGAATTAAAATAGTAATTTCCTGTTTTTATGTAACTGTGGAAATATGAGATAGTATATTAAAGCAATCTAAATTCTAATTAAACAGTCGAAACAAATGCGATAATCTTAAATCTTCTTACCTTGGCTCTTTGTTCGTAAATAGATGTTGACGCTGGGAAGGCTGTTTCTTAAATCCAAAAAGCTACTAAAAGTTTACACACAGCATTTTAACACACACTCAATACAGAAGACACTTAACGGAAAAACAACATAGCTATAAATCAAAAAGAAATTAGAATCATCAAATTTTCTGAGCATGTGCAGATGCCCGAGGTTTAAATTGGAAGCACTCCATTCTATACTGTGGGGGTTGCGACATTTCCTCCCACCTTGCATTCTGGTGTAGGAATGCAACCAAAGTCTCATTAAGATAAGTTACAAATTCAGTTTCTGAGTTGATTTTACTATGCGTTCATATCTGGTTTTTAACATGAAATATTCCGGACTGCCTTCAACTTCGAGAGGATAAAGTCGTTGGTAGGGTCTAAATAATTCTCCATTCATAGTTTTTATGCGAGCAACATGAGTATTTTCGTCGTGTCCAGGATAGAGTTCAAAAGTATTCTGCCCATAGGCCAGTCTATTTGTTTGCTGTTGTCACTTCCAATGAGAACAACTTGACCTACTCTAAGGGTGGTTGGGTGTTTGCACTTGGAGTAAGATTTCAATTGACCCAGGTATTCTATCCGAAATCTTTTCATCAGGTCTTGTTTAGGTTTCAGACGATAACGAAAACGTTTTATTAAATAACTCGAATCGAAACATATAATTCAGGGAGAGATCCAGTATGTGTATCTTGTAAAAATAAAGATGGGGTTAATGGTTGTGAGTCTTCAACATCCTCTGGCAGATAAGTCAAGGGACGGCTATTGATTATATATTCTGCTTCACATAAAATGGTAGCCAGTTCACCATAATGTAGTCGAGCTCATCCCAGGTTTCTTCTTAAGATTCTTTTAGTTATTCCAATTAGTCACTCCCATCTGCCCCACCAGGCGGCGGTAGGAAGGATGAAAATCCGCTGAATCCGCTTAATTGAAGTCAATTTCTGTACCTTTTGTCATTCTATTAGATGGAAAATATTATTAGTTCCTACAATATTTGTATCATTATCAGAATAAACGTGCAAGGGTCTTCCTCTTCTCGATACAAATCTTCGAAATGCTAAACAAAAGGTTTTGGTGCTCAGTGATTGTACTAACTCTCTGTGCACTGCTCGAATCACAGCACATGTGAAGAGAACGAACCAAGCTTTGTCTCCATTTGTTAAGTATAATGACCCTTCTAAATCAATTCCTGTTATTTCAGGTGCAGCTGCATTCTTTACACAATTTTCTGGCAAAGGAGCAGGCATAATCTCAGCATTAGAAACTTCAAATCTTCTACAATTTGTGCAGTATCTCAAAATTTCACGAACAGTTTTCTACATCTTAATATTCAGAAGTTTTCTCTCAATTGAGCCATTAACGTTAGTACTCCAGCATGGCTCAATCTTCTATGATGGTCCAAGATAAGCAAATGAACAACTGGATGTTTGCTGGGCAATATTATTGGCCTTTTGAAACTGTTAGTGTCATCTTGTTATATGAGACATGTAGTAAAACGAATTAAACCATCTTTATAAAGTTTAGGATATAGATATTTCAAAACGGGATTAGTTATTGAGCCAAAAGCTTCATGATGTATGTTTTTTAGTAATATCAGTTCAGCTTGTTCTAATTCCTTGACAGTCAATTTTTGATAGAACCGTTCTAACTTAGACTTCTCGGCATTTTCTATGAAACGTTTCATTCAGGCAAACGTTCTAACTATCTTCGAGTATGAAGAAAACCTATTGCGGTACCATGGTATCTCCTTTATAGTATTGACCATGGCCGTCTTTCTTCTCTGTTGATTTAAACTTTCTTCATTAGCTACAGTTTGAAATTTTGGCCATTCCTCTGCTGGAGATTTTAACCATTTTGGCCTTAGTAACCATCTTGCTTCAATAAGGTATCTAACAGAACTTCCTCTAGACGGAATATCTGCCGGATTAAGATTTCCCGCAACATGATGCCAGTCATAAAGGTGAGACAGAGCTTATTTCCTGTGTCCTACTGGTGACAAAAGTTGTCCATTGCTCATTTTGTTTCATCCAACTTAAGTCATTGCTAGAATCCGTTCAGTAATGTGTTTCAATATCTGGTCTTTTTAAATCTGTCTTCACGTTAACAGCTAAACGAGCAGCAATCAAACATGCTAGGAGTTTATACATTCAATCACCAACGGATAATTATCTAATGTATGTGGAAAACTTTCCACCAGGTCCCGAGCACACGACTTCTCTGCGGTGCTTTGAATGAGGTATATAAATTTGTCTTCATTCGATAAACATGGGTCATCATGAATCTTCTTAAACAAACTCCAAAACCCAAGCCACCCTTTAAGTGAACCGTCATATTTTTGTAATTCGATTTTAGGTAATGTGACACTTTTTTTATTTACCACTTGAACAGAAGAATCATTACTAGATTGTTATTACACAGTTCATTTCGAAATCGTTCCACTTTCTTTTTCAAAGATATGTATGTGTCGGAATAAGAATTTATCCTTTCATATTCTTGATCAAACGTATTTTGATCCGTGTTCGGATCTTTTGATAAAAGATCTAAAATATCTCAATCAATAGCTTCCAATTTTGTAAACTTATGGCTTAACCGCTTCCCGTACAAATTTTTTTGAAAAAAATTGCAAAAAAATCATCACATTTTTTTTATTTTATTATTAAATACAAGGAAACGAAACAAAACAAAATATATAGGTTTTAGGTTGAATTTTTAATTTCCTACAGGTGTAAAAGCATTTAGTTTTAATGCATTAGTTTACTATCCCGAGTTATCTTTAGCATTTAGTTTACTATCCCGAGTTATCTCGGGCAATGGCTTACCTCTGGAAGCTATTTTACGGGAGCACAGAGGCACTGTCTCATTGGATTTGATTTTTTTTTCAAGTAGCGGGAATAACATCTGGAAAATGCCTTGAGGTTATATTCACTCTCTGAAAAATCATCGCTTTCACTATCTTGCATCATCGCCATTATTTTACTTTATTCAATGCAACTATCATTCTTTATACATTATTAATCCACAAGCCGATGTATACTAGACAATAGGGAAAACACGTGACCAGTCCCACCAAAAAAACCACGAAACCAATAAAACTTGGCAAACTGCCAAATATTTCCTTTCATTTCCTCTAGGCCAAGTAAAATCATGATAAAACAAATCATACTGACAAATTCTGCTTTGCCCAAGTTTTCTTGGGATAATAATTAACTGCAATATATACGAACCCGGGATAACTTGTGATAATCAGGCAAGCGGTTAATAGTGAAAACGCTACATCAATTTCTTCTGAATCAATCGGTTTAGCTTTTAGAGCTTCATCTAGCCTATTAGCGACTTTGGTAAAATTTGTTCTGAGTGGTGTTCTCAATTTTAATAATGCATCGAACCCTGGAAGTTTTTCATGCCAGAGAATTTGCATAGCTAGATATTGAACTTCAGCTTCGCCAGTTAAAACTTTCACATGAAGGTCTAACTTTAAATTTTAGTGAGTAAAAAAGTGTTTTTACATAAGTCATTGTAAAAAGCTATGGGAAAGCAGCTCAATAAGTAACCTGTCTTAAATACTTCCACTTTTATTCAAATCTCCTGTTGTTCAATAAGACAAGCTTTTACAAGATGCTTTGCTTAAAGGTTTTTGCACTCTTGTGAAGATTAGGCTATAACTTGAAGAAAAGAAAGGTTGTTTTCAGATAACAGAAGATAAAAAAATTATCTGGATAAATGCTGAGGCTTCCTTATTGTGCTAACAAATTTGTGACCTGGCATCATTAGCAGGCCTTCTGGCACCCTAACTTTGGCATCATCGAATATAAGAGAAAATTTGATCAAGTACACTCATGTCCATAAATTAAGGATAATTCGGAGTCGCATGGAAATCGAACTCTAAAATAAATATATCACCTGTAAAATCACTACACACATCTTCAAGAATCATATTCAAATTTCAGGAAGTAACCAGATGACACCGATGGTACGTCACAATGACGAGAGTGTAAGAGAGTGATATATAAGGAATACAGGCAAAGAAGTAAAATTGTTCGCAGACGCTTTATAAGCATTTCAGTGCAATAACCAAATAGTTATGATACAAAGGACGCATTTGATGATTTTTTACGTGGTAGAATTATCGGCCATTTGGAATGTGGGCGTGCCCAACTGGAAGTATCAGACAAACTTAGAATTGCCCAGAGTGTCATCTCCAGGCTTTGGCAACGATTCCAAGATGATGGTAATGTGAGTAGACGTTACAACACAGGTTGCCCCAGAGTTACAATGCCGAATGAGGACCGGTATTTGGCAGTTACTCCCAAAAGAAACAGGCGGAGCACAACCTCAGACCTGTCTCGTCAGCTCTCTTCAGCCACTGGTACGACAATTTCAAGGCAGACCGTGTATAGATGCTTAGGGCAGAAACATACAGCATCTGTTTTTGCTCTTTACCTTTTGTTTAATAAATAAGCTTTACAGATAAGTCAAATTTGTTTTGCTTCTAACTCTTCCTTTGCCTGATTTTGCATTATCCTTAATTTGTGGACATGAGTGTAGTTGGAGATAAAAAGGAAATCATGTTAGTTTCTGCTTCCATCTTTATTGGAAGTGTTTTCTTGGAACTGTTTCATGATGTATTCATACAAAATTTTATAATTTCTTCCTTTATTTATTAAAAAGTTTCTAAGACTGAAATTATCTGCTGCAGACACTTAAGCTAACGCCACACAATATATAAATCTTCAGAAAATTGTTCACTAATGTTTGTGATCTTTGACAGCAGAATCATAAAGCTTGCTAGAAATTTAGCAAAAAAGCTGTTTTAAATTAGAATAGATTTTGAATAAAACTTTCCCCATTTGATTTATGAATCTTGCTTTAGGGTGTCAATGAATTTAATCCACTGATTTTTTTTTTTAATTGATTAACATAACAGGAAATGTGTTAAAAACCAAAGCTTAAAATGATCTGTAGTTCTTTCAAAAATAAATAATCATATATATAACATATATTATTAAGCATATAGTAGTAATTTGTTTTTGAAATCTTTAGCATGTCTGAGTCAAATTAAATGAACTGGTTACAATATACTGTCTGAAGTACATTGGAATTCATTATATGGCTCTCTTGGAAGTTATGTATAATACATGTCAGTTTTCATGTAAGTTATGTTAAGAAAGGAGATGTATAGTAAAATTCTGTCAAAAGTTCTTAATGTGGTATGTACAAATTATTGAGAATTTGTTTTTCGTATAAAGCCAGTTTCAGTCATTTAGAAAAGCCAAAGCAACAATTGCAGTATTGCGGAAATTGAAGTTTGGAAAGATCTTAAAAAACTGCGTAAAAAATCTTCATAAAGCTTATGTAAAGTTATTTAAAATACAATATAGCAAGCATCATCAGCAGCAGCACATTTTTAACATATTATTTTATTACCTAAGTATGAAGCCTTAGTAACTGAAAATGAACTGTCATTGAAATAAGTAACAGAAAATGCTTTATTCAGCTTTACATTGAAACTTAAAATTCATGTTCCACCTTTCTGGGGAACATTTTTTAAATGAGGCAGTCAAGTATTTGATCATGCTTGAGTAGTAGAAATCAGTAGCTCTTGAGAAAAAATGCCTGAGAAGGGGAACTGGATATGACTGAAAAGCGTCATCAGCAGGGATTGAAATAATGTGTTCTACTTTCAGAATTGTATGCAACAAATTGAAATAGCAGTTAAGGTGTGAAAAGACAGCAAAACTTTTTTTTCTGTCCTTTAAAGTGTTACAAATGACAGGAACATAGGTATAATGTTGTGAACTGTTTTGGAAATGTTATGTGTCGTTCCTGTTGGTATATATAGTCTTTTTTCTGGAATTTATATAAAAACATTTTGTTAACATATGTTTAATTGATTAAAGTGATTTTACAAGTTACTAATGGCAGCAAGGTGCAAAAGAATTTATTCCTATTGTATGCAATTGATTAATTAAAATTATGCACAATTTATATTCCCTAAATTATTAATTATTATATTAATTTATGTGTAAAACATTTATTGTGCTACTTAATATCATCTAATTAGAAGTTTAATTGCTTTAAAAATTGACAGTGCAAGGAAACCATTCAATAAGCTATTATATTAAAAAAATTAAATGTGATATAAATTTAAAAGAAAACTAATTTCTTTAATTATATGAAATGGGATTTTTTAACATTGTGGCTTGCTTTTATAATCTGCCTCAAAATTTTGTAAGAATGGTATTAGGTGAATTAGATATTCACTTCTTTTGTTGGAAACTAAGGTTTCTTTCTTAAAGTCTTTTACTCTGTCAAGAATTTTCAAGATTATTTTATATTTACTCTACAGACCTTTATCCAATTGATTCAACTGCTGAAAGATATTAGCCAAGAAGACTTAGCCTGTATAGCTAGTATTCATTTGTAAGTCTGTTATTAATTTTATTTTTGTTCACTGTTGCTGATGGCTTTCCATAGAGCTCCAGCATTCCTAATTTTTAGAAATTAAGGCATGGCTGTAATATTCAAACAAGTTTAGTTCTTTTCATGTAGAAGTGATGAAGAAAAAAATCTTCAGTTAAATAAGCAAGAGGAAATATCTCTAAAATTTCATAAAAATGTAGAAAAAATAACAATAAACATTTTTATTTAATTCATAAATTGTATACATTTCCCCCCCCTCAAAACCAGCTGCCATTAAAAGCCTTGTTCAGTCTGCTGGTTTCGCAAGCAGATAAAGGTATGTAAAATTTATACTATTTCGTGCCAACTGTCATGCAGACGTGCTAACATGAAGCATGCTCACTTCCAGTGTGCAAGGTTTCTCATTCATCCCCATCAATCATGCATTCGTGTCAGAGTTTTAAAATGTTTAGGAAACAAATATTTTTGGCACAAGATCGCATTATATGTTCAAAGGCTTTGAGATATGTGCAAGTTTGACCTCCTACATGTATCTTTCACTTGAAATGAAACAAAAACATTACTTGCAGGCACTTGGATTTTGATTAAATAAATAAAAGACATGTTCTGGTCTTGTGGACCTACTGACAGGTCTATAAATGGTCACCTAGTGTTTATTAATGAATTATAATATTTATTAATAAACAGATGGAATATTTTTTTTGGGGGTAGGATAGAAGAATAGAATATTTGGTGTTTGGGTTTGCAGTCCAGTTTCTAATCCATAATTAATACCTTGTGTATGTGAAATATTTCTGTTTTGAGCATTAGAATGTTGATGCATCAAAAATCTCTAACAAATTATGTGAATCTAAATCAAGTTATATCTGCAATGGTGATTTTTCATTTGTTCGCATTCTTGCAAAATTCCTCCTATTATGCTGAATGCAAGGATTGTAACACAGAACTGGGTGTATGTCAGTGTTTTGAAATTTATATGAATTTTAGGATAAATGTTTGTTGTCAGTTGTATAATGTCAAAAATCACTAACAAAGACGTATATACTGAAAGGAAAAAAAAAAAAAAAAAATAAATAAATAAATAAATAAATGTGGGGAAGAAACCTGAATTGTATGAAAATTTTAAAAGAATATATAGCATATACCACATATATACTCTGCAGAACATTATGAAACAACATATTAATCTTTCAAATGTTGCATGGATTTAGCCTTAGTAGTGAAAAATCCTCAGACCCTGGAGATATGCTCGCGAAAGAAACACCGGCCCCAGTGGTATGTGCGCGTTCGGGACTTTTGTCACGAAAGGAATAAGGAGGAGAAAAAAAAGGCCCAGTTTAGCATGGGTATTTTCTTACTATTTAAGAATGATCTTATAAAGAAAATAAATCTGTACAGAAATTTAACCCTGATATCATCAGTAGCAGTAGTGTTTATCACCTTAAGTGTGAAACTTAATGTTACAAGTACTGCTAGTGTTAAAAATGATTTCACTAATTTTGCCAGTATCAACTTAACCAAACTTGATTTTTATTAGCACTAAAACGAATGGGTGGTTGAATAAATGATTATATATGATGATATATGTATAAACCAAACAGAATCTCAGTGATGTAAATTGTTTGTAAACTAATGATTCCAATTCAGATTAAAAACTAACGAATTTTAAATTTTATTGGAAAAGTTTTCAGCCATGAATATTTTCATCATTTGAAATTCTAAAAGTGTTAAAAAAAGGAGCTAATATTAGTTAGTTTTTGTGCAAATAATTCTTGTAGGGAAAGGAAAATAAAAAAAAAAAAAAAAATCAGTACTGTGGTGGAATTGTGAAAGTAAAGAAGTAACATAAGCTGTAAATGATGTATTCTTAAAACCCACTTCATTGGAAAGGGTGTTTCTGTAATCAATCACATGTGACCAACCAAGGTCATCAAGAATGGATACTTCTGCTTAAAGTCATACTGCACATATTATTAAAAAAAAAATCAAGAAAATTATCCAACTAGTTTTGTAGATCATTCATGTTTTAAAAGAGAGTGCAAGACTGTTGTAATAACTTCTGAAAATTTTAAGACAGTTTGAAACGTATATTTTAGGGTACAAAAGTTGAAATCTAATAGGAGGTATAATTGAAAAAAATTCAGCTGTTTTTGAAAAATCATAAGAAATCACTATCAGATAATCCGAATAAACTTTATTTAAGAGATTTTTTCCCCTTGCCATCTGATGACGAAAACGGCAAAATTCTTCAAAAACTTTTTCATGGAGTGAGGAAAAATTCACCACACACACACACACACACACCACCAAAAAAAAAAAAAAAAAAAGTTAAGCCTCAAATTTTAAAAACACTTAAATTGAATTTTGTTGGGAAAAAGTCATTTTTAAGGAACACATTTTTGCCAACCACCACAACTTGTATGTCAAATTTCATGGCTTTGCTTTCCATGCAGTTAACGCACGTTCTCACAGATTCTTTATTAGAAAATAAAGAGTCTATGAGAATGATAGAAATTCATTGGATATTTTACAAAAGTATGTTTTCTGCATATTTCTCACCTTGCATCATTTCTCCTAGATCATTAAGCTTGCAATTTAAAATTTTTGATTTGCTCATCTGGTTTTTTCTCTACAAGAACAACCAACTTCTTGAATCTCTCAGGTTGGTATTCTTTGCACAAGGATTTCAAGAATATTCATTGAAACCTGAGTCTTCGTCAAGACCTCCTGAGTCTCCTTCCGTGAAAGTAAAAAGAGGATGTGAAACTTTGAGTGATACAAATTGTGCACCTAGGAACATTGATCATATCCCAATCTAGTGTACTAAATATTTATGAATGATAATAGTACATCATATTCCATACAATAACTGTTTTGTGGGAGTAAAATCAAAAGAGCATTTACAGAAGTAAAGGTTTAGTCTTCAGGATGCATTTCTGAAGAAGTATATAAGGCATTTTCATACCCCTGGTATAAGTATTTTTCCCTGGTATAAGTACCCCTGGTATAAGTACCCTGGTAATAAGTACTTTTCATTGTTATATTTCATTCCGAGATCTACATACTGTGTGTTACTGTGAGGTTTGATGATACAATACTTGTGTCTTTTTATCATTTTCAAGTACTGTTGTCATATCTGATTTGGTCTGTCTTTACAGAAATGTTGTTGTTAGTTAAAGTTAGTGAGCAAGTTTCCCCCTTTTTAGCAATATTATGCAAAGTAATTATAATTAAATTGCAACTGTTTAAGTATGCCACGTTGAATGATATCAAATCCATAACTTGATGATAATTTAGTGATGAAATATGCAAGTCTTATTACATATTAAAGGAAATAAAAATATTTATTAAAGAATTTTTCACAGATCCAAAATTGGGAAGTAGACAAAAATTGCTAGCAAAGTATTAAATTATGTAACTTTGTAAAAAGACAGGTGATAAAATGTAGTACTGTAAACGATGCTTGACTATAATATTAAATACAGTACAAAGTCCCAATGAAGCATTTAAGACGTTAAAGAAATCAAAATTTATAACAATAATAATAATTAATTAATAAAATAAAAATAAAAGGGCTCAGTATTTGTTTGCTTTATTATATATATCTTTTTTACAAGTTGTTGGATTTGCTTCATTTTTTTTGTGCTAATACATTCTCTCTTTTCTTGTTCCATTGTGAAGTCCATTGTTCAAGTCCTGTAATTTGCCACTTCTAGAATTCGTGCTAAATCATTTGAAATTTTTTTATTCTCAACAGTCTCTCTGTCACTTACTTCGTTATCGGGTAGTGATGTATATATGTATATGTCATACTACAGATTTTGTCATCCGTTAGTTGATTGATGGTTGAGCTCTGTTATCAGAGTGAAAAATTTAATATAAAAAGGGGGGAACGCATTGAATAAATATATGTTATTTGATAGTGCGGTTTTGTTTCCTGGGTACTAATTTTACGTTATATCTATTGCAGTTTAAGGGAAATTTTATAATGGTGAACTAATGCTGTTATCACATCTATAGACGCGCGCGCTTACCCGGGACAATTCCGAGAAACGAGAGATTCTAGTAGCACGGCTTTAAGCGGCAGGCTTCCGAGAAATGTTTCGTCTAGCTAGGAGGAACGTGTCCCGGCTACGAGCAACATTTTAAAACTTTTCCCAAAATGTTCTGGCTGGAGACGTGTTCCGCGAATGTTCAACCAATCAGACGAAAGGTCAGCTTCTGAAGGATCCCGGGTAACTTTCAATATGGCGATGGCTCTCACTGTGAAGTGATGGACGGTGAAAATAGAGGCCGATTTAACTATTGCTGTTTTGTTGTAATTCACTGCCTGAGTCATTTTTTAAATGTGTATATATTCATTAAATATATAATCGTGGAAATTTCAGAGTTGACATTATTTTACGACGTTCTTGCATTTTGGATTTGTTTACAAATTGTTCGTAGCCAAAAGTTCGCCAAATTTGTCATATTTCGTGCTGATCATGTATTATAACACTGTTATATAATAGAATTTTATTTTTTAAATTTAAGTTGAATAAATTTTTAAAATCCGTTTGTATATGTGCGGCTTTTCTCCTAATTACTTATCTTTTAAATTGTTAACTGCATAATCAGTGACACATTTTAAACAGCATAAAAGATGCATAAAAAAGAAAAGCATAGCTTATGTAATAATGAGAATACTCATTAAATTTGTCTATTATTTTCATGTTATTAATGAAATACTTTTTGAATTATAAATACATTAGAAACTATACTTTTATTGGAAATGCTACATATTGAAACATTGAAAATTTATGGATTTATTATTAAGCATGATGAAAAACATTTGTATATACATTCATTAATATAAATCTTATTCATTACATTAATACTAATAAATATATATTAACAACTTCTAAAACATCTCATCTCTCTATCTGTATGTAAATATATGACTTATTAGATGTGTATATATATATGTATGTATGAATACAAAATGAACATTGCCAAGAAGTTTATTTGAAGTTACTTTTAATTCAGATAACGATTATGTAATTGGCAGCAACTATAGTTATCAGTTCTTTGCAAATTATTATGGGTATGTAATAATCAGTTGAAAAATAATTGATGAGTATTTGAGTACTAAAGAGTGTACACATTTTTTATTGGGTTAATTCATAATTATATCATACGTATGATCTACGTAATAAAAACATGACTAATAAATAATAAGAAATGTAACAGCTGTGCATTTAAACATTTGATTACTTAAAACAGCGCTTAACTGATTATCACCTTCATGTCTGTTTACATAATGAATTGCACTTTCCAATTAAGTGCACGGGCCTACTAGTGGCCGAAGCGTCGTTGAACACTGGTAGTTCTGTCTCAGGTTAGAATGCCGCGAACGGGCTGGCTACATGACGTTTCCTTGGTTTGCCCCATTTGTAACTGGTATACGAGCCAGTTTTAAAAAATCTTCTACAAAGGGATCCCTCCTGTTGTTATCCCTCAAGGCTTTGCAGTAATCACATAAAACCAACTGAGCCCACCAGCGGCAGAGCGGTAAAGTCGCTGAACACTGGTAGTTCGGTCCGAGGTTCGAATCCCGCGAACGGGCTGGCTGCATGGACGCTTTCATGGTTTTCCCCATGTGTAACGGGTATACTAGCCAGTTTCCCTTAAAGTCCTCCCCGAAGGCATCCCTTCCCTTAGGCAGATAGCCCTAGTGTGCTTTGCTGTAATCTCAATAAATCAAACCATAAAACAAACTCATGATGTGAACACCTAATTTCTAGAGTTGGTATAATTAATGTGTTTTAGGTATATTACCGAGTGTTCTATGGGACAGTAAACAACTCGCACATGTTTGATTGCTCATGTATTCATATGCTTTATTTGATCTTCATTTTGCTGAATAGTATCTGCTGGCTGTGAGGAGGTAAATATCAGCCATATAGATTTCTGTCATTTGAATGGACAAAACAGTAATTATGAGCCATAAAGTCAGTCAGAAAATGCTTTCACCAGGTCACAAATTTTCCAGTGAGCCATCAAATATTCATTGAAATGCAGACAACAGAAAATACACATAAGCGATGTGTGATAAATAGACTTATCCAGCACATGTTTTTAAACTATTCTTAGAGTGTATACAGAATTTGGCTATTACTGATATAATTGATTGCTATAACCAGAAGTGTGTTTATCTGTTACATGAAGTGCCAGAGTGGAGATCAAAGTGATTAACTTGATAGCAATCACCTTTCTATTATCTTCCATTGCTAACAGTAAAGTTTAAAACGAAAAGCGTGTGAGCGATTCAAAACAACACGAAGAAGCGAATGTCACTTGAAAGGAAACGTCACTTTCGCCAATCTGAGCGATAACTGATTCTTGTTTGGCTTTCAGCCTGTTTGCCAAGTGAAGATGGTAACCCTATTTTGCCAAAGGCCGTTTCTCAGAACTGTTGCTACAAACGTTTTGTCCCGGCAACAAACAGCTAATGTGATAACGGCTTAACATTTCTTAAAGTTCAAAATCTCTGCATCCTAGAACTTTGTTTTTCATATGAACTCACTTCTTGTTCTGATCCATTATATAATAATGAAAAAAGGTAGATGTTGTGAGTATTTGTTCTATATGTTATGCAAATATGAGTCTTTCTCTTAGAATTGATTTTCCTTCAAAAGCTTTATATGAGAACATCATTCTCTAGCTTCTATCCTTCCAAGCTCTGTGTTGTAATTATCCAAGCAAAAATTTTCATAAGAAAAGCATGGGCTTAAGAGAAAGAGAGTTTGAATACTGGTTTATAATTTATGTTATCAAATGAACTTACTGTACAGAGAAGATGTTTGAAAATACAAAGAAATAATAAATGGTATTTTTCTGTTAATCATAATACAGGTTATTTCTCTTTGTGTTTTATTATGTAATTAATTCCCTTCATATTTTTCGATTTTAAAATATCTGTAGACATCATCTTTTGTATTACCTTGATATATTGAGAAAGAACTGTATTTTCTGTAATTTAACTTTTATGGTAAATTACAGAATTAAAATTTATGGGTATTAATGAGTATGAAAGCATTAAATTAATATTATAAATCAAGAAACATAAAAACGGGGGGGGGAGTACTTTCATCGGTTAAAACAGTATTTTCCAAATGGTGTGTTACAAAATTTTTCAGTTCAGATATATATTTTATGCCAATCTTAAGAACTCTACTCAAAATCTTATAGTATATTTACCATGACACCATCAATTAAAAGGTTTAATTTTGAGAAAGCTTATACCATATTGTGAACATCTGCAAGAATGTTCTGTGGTGCTTTTTCTGCTCAGATGTTTGTTGTATTTATATACCACAGATCTATTAATTTGCTTTGAGACCAGGATGATCTCCCAGAAATGACATTTATTTATTAACTTTCAAGTTAATTCAAGGCAAGGAAATTTCTGATGAATCTGGGGGGGGGAATACTAAAATATGTTTACTTTTGTTTCCCTCTGTTTATGGTATTTTATGATATTACTATATTATCATTGTCAATCACCATAAATCTGCTAAATTAACATAAATCTTACAAGTATGAGAAGAAAAAAACGAAGTTTGAACTAATTAGTGTCAGCTATGAAACTATATTTTTAGTTATTTAATTTTCTTCCTTGCAATCCGATACTGTAGTTATTTCATAAGCAGTTTTCATGCTGGTATTTCATTTCTTTATGGTGTTAATATAATTATATATATTTTTTTACATAGAAGAAAAGCATGAAGTATTTACTCTTTAACAGATTATGCTAATTAATTTTTTTAAAGATTCAAAATCTGTTGTAAGTGATTACTGTGTCAAAAGAAGTGTTTTTCAAGGGGCTTAATAGTCATTAGCTAGGTTATGATTCTATTCTTATTCTTTGTCACCATTGGAAATATTCTATCAGACATTGCTTTAAAATGAACTTAACTAATATTTGTAAATTAGTAAGCATTTTTTCTCCTCCAACATTTTTCATTTAAAAATTTTGTAATCAAAGATCCATGAATAAAAATCCATTGTTTTTAATAGATATCGTTCTATACCAAAATCTTCAAAGCTGATTTTTTTCAATAAGTTTTGGAAAATTCAAAGCAGATGGCTGCATAATATATAACTTCAGTCCGATATACCCATTTCAGGATTCAGCACTGCTAAACTTTTAAATACTGTGTCTTCAAAATTTAGTTTTTCCAAAATTTGAATAAAAACTCAACACAAGTAAATAAGTATTTGACCTTAAATTCTCTTAAATTTATTTCTAGATCATTGTCAACAAAAATTTAAGAAAGGTAGAAAAGAAGTAATTTTACTCCTCTTAGCTGATTAACAAAGTTGTATTTTCTAAGTAAATGTTTTACCACAGTAAGAAATGCAAAATTTGAAAGAGGTCTTCACAAGTACTTCGTTCCATGCATCAAAATTCCTTAGGATCTCTCAATAGATGGTTAGCAATTGAAAAACAAAAGTTTTATGCAATAAGTAGAATGTAGGAGTTAAGACGCTGCTAAAGGTTGAAAAAGATTAGGAGACATTGATTAAACAAATGTGAGTAAGATTTGGGAAAAAAAATTTCTCTGTATCATTATCGTTGCATTGTGAAATACTGATGAGTAACCATGGACAGTGATAACTACTTGAAATGAACTCCCATTCAATAGAATCATTTTTCTTATTGAAAACATTGTAGTACTTTTTACTATTGAAATTTTATTTATTTATTGTTTTTAATTAAATATTTCAACATTTTGTAGTTGCAATCTGATGACTGAACGCAACCCAAGTCCTCCAGCCTTTTGGGATCCATATCCTGAAAGCAGGCATCCGCAGCAGTTTTATCCTGTTCTTCAAGTTATCTAGTTGTCGATTTCATGGGACAAGCCAGCAGTCTATTCCTTTCCATGATGCACCGGAAACTGGAATTCGAGCTCTTGTAAGAATAATTTCTTAAATGATATTTATGTGCTGTATTTAAATCTATTAACATTTGTAATTTTTGGGAGTGTGTAACTTTAAAGTCTACTTAAGTATGTTTCAGTTGTAGTCTGATGAATCTGGATTTAAAAATTTTCTCCGTTTAATAATTCCTTTGCTCTTTCCCCCCTAATAAAAGTTAAGCATAAAATCATTGTTTAATAAATATTTTATCCAGGTTTATTATGAAATATTTCCATTTTTCAATTTTTATAGAGTATTTATTAAAAGCCAGTTAATAATCATCTTTGAGATGTATGAGAGTTGTGTTAAGAACAATCTCAGAATTATCCCAATTCGGAACACTGAATTAGAAAATCCAGTTTAAACTATCTTTCTCTTTGACAGAATTCACATGAGCAAGCAGATAATCTTGGAATCGCCACAGGCTTGTCACTTACATTTTCCAACCGGTAATAGAAAAATGAAAGTCATTCATCCCCTTTTGAAACTTGTTGCAGAATTTGAGTGTTAACAGACATAACATATTTCTAGTTTTCACAATAAAAGAGAAGCCAAAATTTAGTAATTAAAAGTGAATTTAAGAAATGACTCTGTCAATTTTGTTTTTGCTGAAAGTCACTTTTTAGTGCAAAAGAGCATTAGCCTGAATAGGCTATTAGTTTCAAAACAAGAATTTGCATCATCCACTGTAAACTACTGTCACTTTTCAAATCGTTACCATTTAATATTATTGCCCTGTATTATTTTTAAGTAATTGAATGATGAAGAATCTGCATGCATACATGTTCCTCATGTTGTGAAAAAATGATGGTACGTAAGGCCATCAAATTTTGAATAACTTAAATCCACCACTCAAACAGGCGCACCTTAAAGCCCGATTTTGAATTTTATACTTCATATTTTGTAAATATGAATTTTTGATTAACAAACACAACAATTTTAAAGTGAGCAGTGGCAATACTGTATGAAATTAAACAGTTTTATCTGCAGCACATGGGACTGTCTATCAGAAAAATTGCTGTTTTTAAATATTTTGTGATTTTGCTGCTGGATTTAATTTTATCTGGCGTAAGTCCAAAGAACATGATATTTAATGAATAAAATTCACACACAAAACGTAAATAATAAAAAGACCAAAAAAAGTTTTACACCCCATCTTATTAGGAAAATTGAACACCGTTATGATGAACTGAGAAAATACTGCAAAAAATAGAAAATTGTATGGCAACGCTTCATTTGATTTTTCATCAGGAATTCATAAATGTGATGATGTTATGACACAATAACGCTTTTTAGTGCAAGCTGCAAAAGCGCAATTTTGCGCTTTTGCAGCTGAGGATGATGGTTCGGTAAAAACCATCGAAACTAGGCCTGTGAAAATTTGAAAATGTAACGCTGTTTTTTGTAGTTTGACTTCTGAATTAGTGATGATGTTATGTCAAACTATAATTATTGGAGATGCTAAGGCAACAAGAATTAGCATAATATTCATAAATTTACATTACTAGTTTTGAAGGTTTAAATATAAAACCTTCAAAACTAGTCATGTAAATGAATGTCATGAATACATCAAAACTAGTATTGAATACATCAGGAATTCTAAATGTATAGTGAAACAAATGCGAAGAAAATGTTGCGTAGTAATAAAGCGAAAGACAAGAAGAAATGGATTAGCAGGGGTGAGTGCAACAGCAGAGTGGTAGACTGCGGGCTCAGCAAGAGCATAAAAAAACTTTAACAAATGCTTTTGAGGAACCATTAAAATCTAAACCCTTTCAAATTTTATTTTTCTTTATTAACCCGCGAGCACATGCACCGATCCGACGAACACGAGAACACGCGCCGGGTATGTCATACCCGAATAAAAAGTTTGTAATTAAAAATTTGCCGAATAAAATTAATCGGTTTTTAAAAGAAATTAAAATGTAAAACCAAGTTAATACTTCATTTTAGACAAAATATGAAAGAATAAGGAGAGGTAAAAATTATTTACCTTACAATTTTTTGTATACGTTGTTTACGAAATGAGGTCATAATGTTCCATACATATACTTTTGCTACAATTTTCACAAATGAATCTAGTATTTGTCTATCTTTTTCTTGGGGCACTCTGTACATCTCTTGTAAGTCATTTTAAGTTTTTTTTGGGGGGATGGGTGTTCATTGTCAAACATGTTCATCGGTGGTCAGTGTTTGTCCTAGAATCAGGAACTAAAGATGCTCGTCGTCGTTCATTTATGAACATTTTCTATTACCTGCATCCCTAAGGCTTTGAGAAAACGTATGCCTGGTACGGTATTCTGTTGATGATGGTTCCTTTTTTGATATAGAATTATTCTTGCATTATGGCAGCCACGTTTAACACTGAAAAGAAAATTCATTATAGGCCACGTTCACATGGGATGATTTATAAACTCTTCAAATACAGCAGCTGCCAATCTAAAGCTACATCGACTTCCAACTCATTTTGTGCATGTTATGGAATCTAATAATTTCACGAGCTTTTTAGATTTCCACAGTACTGATTCATCGATTATAAATATTTGTATTGTCGACTACATGTTTTAATATATCTTCATCGATAAGCAGTGACCAGGAATCTAAAGGTGTTGAGACGTCTTTACGATACTTCGTATTTCCCGGGAGTTTAGTTATAATATTTTTGGCGCCAATTCTAACATTAGTCCGGAATTTATTTTTGTTTCTTTTTACTCCATTTTTTCCAACATAAAACTCATTGCTACATTCCAAAGTTTCATTTTCTGTTTCTGTATCTGAATAACTATTCTCTATGGATGAATCATGATTACTATTATATTCTTCGTCATCAACATCTTCATCGTCTTCACTAAATGAATCCTCATCAGAAGAAACTGTTTCAAGAAGATTTCTCAATCTATTCATCTCTTCATCGTAAGGAATATACGGCGCCGTGCTTACAACTCAAGAAAAACCTATACTAAAAGCTTGAAAACGAGAAGTGCGAAGTGACTCACTGAGAAACGCGAGTACACGCGCGGGTATGACATGCCCGAACAACGCTGTTCCTAAAAAACCGTTGCACCTGTCACCTCAGGAATTTCCCCCATTTAAGTATGTGACCTTGAACTCAGCTACACCAAGTTTCGTACTTTTATGAAAGAATGGGTGAGAAATATAAAAAACAAAAAATGCACATGGGTATGACATACCCGTTGCGTGTGCTCGCGGGTTAAATTGTTGTCATCAGGGTAATAATTAAATTTATCTATATTAATATCAGTCTCAGTAAGATTTAACCTTACTACATCATTGTGCAAATTAATTGAAACAAATCAAAAAATTGAAAAAAACTAAGAAGAAATGCTATTTTAATTTATACAAAATCAAACATTTTTAGTACATAATATGATCCCCATGACTCTTTATTAACATTTGGACACAATTTGGCATGGATTCTACCAGTGTTTCACAGTCATTTATAATATTTGTGTCCTTGTAGCACATAGGATTAGCTTCTCCATAGTTGTGCAGTCCATATTTAATAGGCAATTTTTGCATATAGTCCTGAAATTCTCCATTGAGTTGATATCAGGAGAGTTTCCAGGTCATTCCATCGTCTCAATTTGGTTCTCAGAAATGAATATCTGATCATTTTGAACATATGGTACAGGGCTAAATCCTGCTAAAAATCCCTATTCCATTAGGGTATCATTTTTTCAACTCTGGAACAACCTTTTTGTACAGAATAGTAGTATATCGATGAGAATGCATTATGCTGTCAACAAGCTCAAAAAAAAAAAAAAAACCTCATTAACTAAAACAACCACAAAACATCTTCTTTTAATGGTGTTCAACAAATTGATTAATGTGGTAATCCCGAATTCTTTCGCCTGGCAATCTTCGCACGTGTTGAGTTCATTCACTTTAGAAGAAAAATTGACTGTCATTGCTAAATAGCACTTTTCTCCAATTTTTCAACTGTCCAATTTTTATGTTTTAACACCCATATGTAGCACTTTCTGTTCATTGGTAGATTAACAAACTGTTTCTTCATAGACCAATAGGTCTATGCGACTGGCTGCAAGAAGACTCCTCCGAACAGTAGATGAGCTAATATTTATTTCATGCTCTTTTAAATCTGTATTAAGTGCAGCACTAGTCTATTGATGGTATTTTTTACTTTTGTGTATGTAGAAAAGTTTTTTTTTTTTTTTTTTTTTTGACCATATTTTACTCTCTTCTTTGGAGATATGGATCCCTTCTTCTTCTTTTTTTTTTTAATCATATGACTCACAATTGCTATACTTACACCAACTATTTTCAAAATCTCTTTGTCAGGCTTTAACAGGAGAGAGTAACAATCTTTGTACGCTTTTGTGGCGTCTCATCCGTCTCTGACAACAGTGAATTCTTTAACTGATGTGATCATAGCTGAAGCTTTGATCTGCGGAAGTCAGAATCCCTCTGATTGGTGGAAATTGTTGCTAGGCAAAGAATTTATTCATCCCACCCATATTTTAAAAATATTTTAGTATGATTGTTGAAGAATGATAGGAATAATTTTAAAATTCACAAAAAAATAGTTTGCTTCAATTAGTTTATTTGCACAAGGGTGTATACCAGTATTTTTATGGTTTCTTAGGAAACAGAATCTGGTTTTATCAATTATATTGTTTTAAACAGTATCAGTTATATTGTTTTTAAAAATTTGTTATGCACTGGGATATGCCTTTTTTATTGAAAGAATAATTCATGTCCTGGTTTGTGCCGACGCAATAATAATATATTTTTTTTAACTTTAAATGTTGTCATGGTGAGAAGGGCATCATATACATTGTGAAACTGTTTTTTTATTACAATACTTAAAATGAAATTTTAATAGCTAAATCATTGGCTGTACAAAAAAAAAAAAAAAAAAAAAAAAAAAAAAAAAAAAAAAAAGAGAGAGAGAGAGAGAGAGAGAGAGAGAGGGAAAAGGAAAAGCATCCGCTCGTAAGAATTATAATAAGAGTCCGAATATAATACAGTACAAAGTCCCAGATCTGGACTCGTCAGGATTTCCGCGATTCCGGATTTGGGATTTTTCTGTATATTAGATCATCAGTTTAAATCTAGTAAGATGGCATGTAGAAATAATAAAATTAAAAATATGAAATGATTTATGAAATAATGAAGCATTTATGATGTAAAGGGTATCAAAATTTACCAAAAAAAAGCTTAATATTTATCTTTTTTACTATATTAAACATTTTTTTTCAAGTTGCTTCATTTTTTGTGCTAATACTTTCTCTTTAATTCTATAGACAGACATAATCTCTTATTGACTTACAAAGTTCCATTGTTGAAGTCCTGTAATTGCTGTGTCTAGAATTCCGACTAACTTGTGAATCAAAATTTTTTCGTCTGTCTGTAGCAGTATTTTCTGGATCTAGAATTATACTACAGATTTCGCCATCTGGTAATTGATTGATGATTGAGGAGCACTGTCATCACAGTTGAAAACTTCTTTTATAGCCTCTTCATTTATTACTGCTTCTCCACATTTCTTTGCAAAATCCACTGATTGGAAAATTTCACCTTTGGTGTGCGATATCCGAAAACCTTCAGGAAAACTTTCAGATTTGTGGCTATCGTCATAAAATTTAGCTATTATTCACTATACATATTTGGCTATGTATTATGAGATTGGCGACTAAAGGCAAGTTGTTCTACTAAATTTTATCTTGCTTCTATCTCCCACTGAGATAATTAAGCCTGAATTGTATTAGTTATTTATTATACTTATGCCTATTTCTTACACATGTTTCTGAGTCCTGAATAAATAAATTCCCATATATACTTAAGGCTTATTGAGGGCTGGCACCTGATGCAGTCTCTGCAGGTCCTAAATTCTCCTACCAAGCATCTTCCTTTGTCTTCCCTAAATTCTGCTGTCCAGTTCGGCCATATGAACTCTGGCGCTGGTTCTTGGTTTATGTGAATAACAAATCAGTTATTCTTAATTCAAATAGCACTGCATGTATTCTTTTGGCCTATGAGTATCATTAACAAAATCTACTTTTAGCATATAGAAAGAAATTTTTGTTAAATTTTTCCTGTCAACATTTCTTAGTTCATTTAACTTAAATCTGTAATCATTGCCAAGCATAATGTCAACATAAAAGATTACCATGCTGTTTCTCAATTACTAATATAAAAAAGATTTTTTGGGTATCGCTCCATGAGTCATTACTCAAGTTGTCATGTGTTGATAAACGTGGTGATGAAAGCAAAATATGATAAATAATGATTTGCCAGGTTTGGCTTAAAAGGTATAAAATATTAGTAGGTGTATCGACGATGTATCTGTAGAATGTTTCGGTTTGAGATGTATGATCGACATCTACAGAGCCAAATTATTGATCATACAAATTTATGCTAAAATGATTGTTTCTTCAATAATGAGGTATTTTATTTAGTGCCAAAGTGAAATTAAGAATCGGTACTCTCCACATGTTTTGTTATGCACGGGGAGGGTTGGAATCAAATGCTCATGTATGCAGCACACACACAAATAATAATAATAATAAAATAAAAAAGTTGGTAGTGGCCTTTGAGGACTGGATATTGGACGTCCGGATCTCGGACTTTGAACTGTATTAGTGATGCTAAGGCAACAAGAATTAGCATAATATTCATAAATTTACAGGACTAGTTTTAAAGGTTTTATCAAACTTTCTTTAGCTGCAGAAGTAGAAATAATAAAAGAGAAGCATGTGCTAAGGCAATAACAATGAGAGGAAAAAAAATCAACTACCGACACCATCTATAGATGAAAAATGAGAAAAACTCTGAAATGGTTTTCTTAAAAGTTAAGGATGAAGATGGATTAGAATTGCGATACTTAACTAGATCTGAAAGATTTTTATGAATGTGAAGTACATCTAGAAAACCTAATTTGCCAATGCTAGATGTTTTTTAAATAATTTTGCCTAGGGGGTAAAGAAAGAAAAAGAAATGGAAAATGTGATTTTCTCACTAACAGTGTTGGGGAACAGAGGATTTATATGTTTTTTTTTTTTTTTCGTAATATATGCCTCATGTTCCATAAGCGTGAAATTTTAAAGTTCTGTTAGTTTGGCCAATGTAAATTAAAGTACCCTTGGCAATCCTGTATATAACCCAGTCGTTGATATCTAGAAAGGGGTCTTCAGGTGTGAAACTGCGAATTTTATGGGTTGGGGAGAAAAAAAAAAAAAAAGAGAGAGTCAAAAATTGAATTTCAAATAAAATACATTCAATTTTAAAGCTGTATTGTTTGCCATATGCAAGGGCACATGAACTTTTAATCCAGACTTCGTGCACTGGCAGGACTTTCTCAAAACTGCTTAAAGATTATTTCTATTCATCTTGTCCATCAGTTTCCGAGACACCATCATGTCTACAAATTTTGTTGTCTGAGAGTAATATTTTATATCAGGAGTAAAAATAAGGCACCTCCCTCAAGGTGTAATAAAACACAAATACTAGTAAATTAAGAACTGGCATTTTACATACTTTGATATCACCAGCTACCTACCAAATGTATCTCCTTGTTGTTCTCTTTAGCTATTTTGTAACAGAATTCTCTATCACTTCTGAAATGTTTCCACAATTTCTTACGTTGCTGGAAAATTCTACAAGCACATATTTTAAGATTACGTTTAAGGCAAAAGATATCCTGATTTGTTTATAAAAACCCATGGAGCATTAGAAAAAGAATACATATGATAATGGTGACATTGTTTGACTGATGGATTATAATGAGCATGGTTTCCAGAGTTTGACAGCTTTTCTAAGGTGGTTGCTACAGTTACAAATACTACAATTACATTGCAATTCAATTATTATTTCAAGTATGTACGTTATAATTAATTTATGCTCAACTGTATTTTGGATTTTGCATTGTATGTGTTTGTATGTATATATATATATAAGTAGAAAGTAGTAAATTAAAAAAGTTGTGAGATGTATTCAGTCAAAAATTGCACGTTGAGCTGCTAACTTTAAAGATTGAAAAGAAAAGGAAAGTTAAAAATTAGCTAAAGCCTTAAAGTATATTTGATGCAGCCAAGTTTACATGTAACGCTAAGTTATAACAATTACATTAAACGAAAGCAGTTAAATTTTACGTGAAATAACCTACTGAAAATACTACACAATTTTATAAAACCTATTCAATAAAATCAAAATTGGTTCATTAAAAAACCTACTGAAAATACTAAAAAATTTCTTAAAACCTATGCAACAAAATCAGGAACACTGATGAGACTTAAAAATGCACTTATACTGATGATATAATACTTGATACTTAGAATGTAGAATTCGTTATGACTGAGAAACTTGGCAGCCGAGGCAGTTTTAATTCTACTTTAAGTTCACATTTATTGCCACAATTCACTTGGCCTTCTATCATGCCTATTCAAGAATATTTACATTTTTTAATACTATTGCGATAGGAAGAGAGCATAGCGGTGTCCAAGCAGCACAGAGGGTGAAGCTAAAAGTACACATTTATCCAATATGGCAGTCTGTTAAGAGAAAGGTTTCAGTTCTCAGAGTTTAGGTTACCAATTAACTGTTATCAGCATTATGCAAGCTTTGTGGCACTGATTAATCTAGAAATAGTGCAGTCCAGAAATGTTATTATTTTTAGAATAAAGAGGAAATAACCGAATTAAAAATGAGGAATTAAGAGGCTATTATTAAATTAAATTATAAAGTTGATTTACATATTTTTATCTCATATATATATATATATAGAGAGAGAGAGAGAGATGTGAATGTATGTGTTTCTTCTGTAAATTGTGAACTTGATTTTTTCCTCTTATCTTTTAGGGCACAGGTCCTGTTCCTGACCCCTGCCTTACCTATGGTAGTTGCATGCCTCGAGCTCGTTGCATACATTCTCATCACACACTTTATCCAAGTAAATATTGCTATCTATAAAATTTTTTAATTATTTTCTGCTTTATTTATATGCCTTCTGAGTTCTTGAACTTGGAAAGTGTCAGAGATATATTTTGAGTACATCTCCCATAGATAGAAGCAAGCTCAGGAAATGAGCATGCAAAATTTTAATTATATGGATTTATGTGAAGCTAAAAAATTTATAGTTTATTTCATTATTAAAAAATAATTTATTTCATGCATTGGAACAATTATACATGAGAATCATTTATTTTCATAATAGTACTTTTTTTGTGTGTGTGAAAAGATTTATATATACTTTATATTACTAGCAGCATCAAGTCCACACTTCAGTTATGTGCCTGCCAGTGTACATACTCCTGCTCACCACCATCCAGCTTTGAATAGCGCACCCCCATATGGCCAACTTTATAATTCTGTTACTGTCTCCACCCCATCCAGCCATCATGATCCAGCAGCAATACATGCACATCCATCAAGTTTGGTTCGAATGAATCCTACACATTCTAGGATTTGGCAGGTAATAATTTCTTGGCAATAATTATTAATTTTATGAGAGCATGTATTTTCTTTCAGTTTCACCTTTTTTAAATAAATCAAATGATATCAATAATATTATTTATAATATGCACAGTGCTTTTTAACTTGGAGGTTCTTTCACTTTGGATCCATAAATTAGAAGCATCAGCAAGTACTAATAAGTATTACTCATCATTCTCGTAAGCTGTAGAATGAAAAAAATATATTTGATATTTTTGAACTTGAAAAATCTGATTGTATACGTGTTTGCCTTCCATATTCTGTAAAGTGTGTAGCTTTAAAAAGAATGCATGTATGTATTTGGGTAAATAAAATGCATGTAAAGCTTATTAAATTGTGCTGTTTTACTTACATGCACTAAAAAGTTTAACTATTAGGTATAAAATTAATAAAAACTTTTGAATAATGGACATTATGTTAGGAAACTGTAAAGGAAGATATACAAAAAAATGGAGGATACATGTCTGAATTTATAAAGCAAATGTAAATAATTTATCTGTATTGAGTCAAAGTCTTTAAGATGTGTTTTGATTTATTATTATTTGATGTTATCATCAGAATAAACATCCTGCTGGGTTGTTTTTTATTGGGGAGAATTTGAATCTTTCGCCTGTATGAAAGGTAAAATTATTCTGAAAAGCTATAGTAAAATTGGCTAATAAGCACCTATATTTACTAATTAATTTCTAATAAATTAAAGCTTTGCTGAATATATAGGAAAAATTACAATGAAATTTTAATCTTAATTGTGTTCATATTAGAATAAGTGTCTAGAAATAAGAAAGTGTGAGTAATAGTTCTTATAATGCTGGGTGTATTTTTTCTAACCGCTTTTAAAATTAAATGTATTTTTGTCTAACTTTGATAGTTGTTTGTGTGAAGCGAATGAAAAATTTAATGATATTTGTTGTGAGAAAAATAGTGTATGGTAATTAAAAATTATTTATGTAAATTTCCTCATGCAAGTGGAATCTTTTTTTTAGTCTCAACAGCGTATGCAAGAAGTCAATAGGAGAAGGTATTATCAGCACAGCGTGCTTATGCAAAGGTAAGCTCGTTACACATTGTAATGCAGTTTAAGGTATTGAATTAAATTTATGATATTCGAGAAATGTAATAATGTATTGATATGTACTTTTTGTGTAAAAATTTAAAAGCGTATGTAAAGGTAGAGTACTTTTAAATTATCTGCATTGCCACAAAATGTTGCTCATGAATTGGTGATTTTTTTGAATTATCAAAAACAATTTGTTTGGCTGTCTTTATGGCTACTAGGTCTAGTTAGTTCTGTTCATAAATAATAATAGTTATAATAAAAATTTATAAGAAAGATATCAATCAAGGAATTTTATGAGAGGGTTTGGGGAAAAGAAAAGTGTACATACAGATGTGTATGCTTTTACATCTGGTAATACTATTCAGCCATAATGACTGTTAAATATAAAGCATATAAATTCACTATACTCAGATATCAAGCATGGGTTGATTTCTGTCACATGTATACTGGAAAATGTGCTAAAACATGACCGTTCAACAGATGTTGAAATTGGGGTGTAGATAGTCAGAAAGTAAAAAAAGTAAATTAATGAAAGAGAAAACCTCAAAATAAAAATGGGTGCTTTCTGATTGTCTGCATCCACATTGAAAAGTCACTAACTTGTTACCAGCTTTGGAGGAAAGCATTTGACTTGCATCTGTTTAAACATTGCATTGAGTGCTGTCTATTATTTATTGTCTATTATTTATGCTGTCATTTAGAAACAGCTTTGCAGCATGTGGATTTTTATATTCTGAATTACTGGGCTAAAAATTACAACTCTTTCATTTTTATCAATATATAATTAAATATTCTGAGTTTCATGTTTATGACTAATTTTACTTTGTAATTTTCTGACACTTTTATGCTGAAGAAAATGTATGTACCAAAGTACTTTTAAATATGATGAAAATATAATTAATAATTAATGTACAAACTGCAGTATGATTAAATTTAATTATGTATCATTTATTGATGTATATTAATATATTTTACCTCAGAATCACATTGTAAATAAATTCATTATAAAGTAATTTTGTCATTTTGCAATGGCTTCATCTCGCAATTCAAAAACCTGCCCGAAATTCACAGGTTTTCGTGTTTCTGGTTGGTGGCTATGGTATGGTGGGTGATTCAAAGTAATAAAGTGAAAATTCAGTAATTTTAAAATTACAGACAGTAGTACAATGCAGTTTTTACTGAAATGCATAGAAATTGTTTAAAATTTTTTTTTTTTTTTTTTTTTTTTTTTTTTTAAGTAATGTAAGATTTTATTGCCAGAATAATACTGTTTTTAACTGGCAGGGTGTTTCAATTGTGTCAGAAGTTGGTGCAGTGATGCAGCACAGTTCACAATGCAACTAAGATTACAAATGTTTAGTGTCATGGCCATCAAACTTGGCATGACACTCTGCACGATATTGAAGAGGTTGTAATTATATTTGTAATTTCTAATTCTTATGTCATCAGTCCAATGGACAGCTAGTCCACATTGTTTTCTAGCTTATTTTATCATTGAAACGCCTAGTTTTTAAATTCATGATATCTCTCAAAAGTGATTAGTTGTAATTACTGTATGTGTTTGATTTTGTAAGAATACATCTTTAAGATCTCACAAAAATGTAATTATTCTGAATAAAAAAAAAAGTCCCATGTCTTTTCTGGAAATTTCTGTCAAAACCACATTGTACTACTATCTACATTTTGAATTATTAGCCCTAAGGGACAGTTTGCCCAGAAGGGCTCTTAATTTCATTTTGGCATTTTGCATTGGTTTACTATAAACATTGTTTCGCTTTTCAAATTGTTGCCACCAAATATTGAAGCTCTGCAATTTTATGTAAAGAAATTAAATAATAAAGAATCTCCATGAATGTATGCATGTTTCTCACACTGTAAAAAGAAACAGTGTACTTAGAGACATCATATTTTGAATAATGCAGTTATCCATTCAAATATGGATATCTGGAAGCCCACATTTGGAATCTAGAATTTCTTTTATTAACTGTTTCATATTTTGTAAAACTTTAATGAATTTTTGATTAACAAACTCAACGATTTCAAAACATTCCATTAACATTAACATCCCATGTGTCTTCAAGCACGGATGTTTTATGTGCAAGTTTTTTTTTTTTTTTTTTTTTTTTTTTTGTGATATTGCTGTTGAATTCAATTTTATGATTTAAGTGCAAAGAATGTGATTTTAATAAATAAAGGTAATGCACAGAATGTTAAAAAATGACCTTTGGGAGTAATTTAAAATTTGAAAGCTTTCATATTATTTTATTGCATTTATTTATTTAGTACTTTTGAATCATCCAGTGTCTGTGCGTATTTACACATACGCACTTTGAGTTCTTTTCTTTCTTTCATAAAATTCATTTAGCTAAAAACAGCAATTCACTAGTTAAATAACTATTTATATTTTCTAAAACTAATGTCTATGTTTCTCTTCCCTAAAACTAATGACTAAATTAGCCTTTTATAAAATCAAATATAGAGATTTGAAATGTTTTTATTAAATGAATAAAATAAAATTTTCACTTTAAAATTCAGAAAGATGAGTAGCTGGATTCTGGGAGTATTGCAAGATAACTTTCAGCAAACAATTATATCTTTTTTATTCAAACATGCCGTTTCATAATTATAAAATGCAACTGAATATTAAGTTTGAAGTTTTTTGCAATTCTTATCATCCATCTCCACTTCTGTGATTAGAGGTCACATTGATTGTTATGTTAATGTACATATAGATAGATAGATGTAACTGCTAATCGCTTCGAAGTTTTTGACGTCTTTCAATTTTAGTTTTTAAAAGCATATGAGTGATTATAAAAATTATCACTTGATAGCAAAGATCTATATTGCTGTGATGTACTTTGCGGTATAGCATGCAAAGTATAATTTATAAATAGTTTAAAAATTGGAGCCGCGAGATCTTTTTGAAGAAAATTAAGTAATATTTTGTGGGTGTTAGCAATAAATCTAAATTAGAAGAATGATTAAATAAGACTAAAAAAAATTGGGAGATAAATTATAATTTTTTGCTAATATTAGTTTATGATATCTGTAAGATTTGTTCTTTTAAATATGTTTAGATATTACTATAGATATCTTAATTCCCCCATGCTAATGTCAGTTAAAAAATAATGCTCTTAATTTTATTTAAACAAAAAGTGAAAGGAGCAGAAAAAAAGAACTTTCAAGTAAATAAAAAATTAACTTATCAATAAAAATGACTGTTAATTTTGAATTATATGCTTTGACATTCACTTTGGCGCATTAAGCTCTGTTACATATCTTAGTTTTTAATGATTTCTAATGGACATCAAAAATTTTCTGATTGGTACAATTAAGCATAATGTACATGTTATCTAGGAAATGAATAAATATGCCTATTAAAATGATCATCATATTGTACATTCAAATTATGTGCAATTAAACAGTGTTATGTTCCTGTAACATTGCTGAGACTGCATTTAGCAGATATCATTTTCCATGTGAAGCATGTGACAAGTGTTAATATAATATTAGATAAATAGGCTGATTTTAAAGTTTATTATTGTATGACAAATTCGTAATTAATTCTTAGTTCAAAAAGTATTTTTAAAACTGCTGAATTTTTCTCTTAATTTATTGTTATATTAAACCTACTTGAAGATTATAGTAGTTGACTCGAAGTTGTACTAGTATATACACAGGTATATATGAAAATGTAAAAATTAAATAAATGTCCCCCGAGTAATTTTTAATTTCAGGTTTCTATAGTTTAATAAAGTTTAATTTTAGTTTCTTTTGTTTTTGTAGGCAACAGGAATTAACCCTGCAATTAATGGAAAGCCAAGCACATGCTACTCCTGCACCTGCATTTTACCTCTGTCCTGACACGACACAAAATATCAGTGCTACTGCTAGTGCGGCTCCTGTAACTACTAGCCAACCAGCTGCGCATTACATGCACACTTCCTTGCTGGTACCTCCGGCCAATCCAGCTAGCAATCCTGCAGGCCCATCTGGTCTAAGTGTGTTGCCTTCAGTGATACCACCACAGCCATCTCTGCCTACCTCAGTGCCCAGCCAATCAGTCTCCTGTGCTGCAGAAGCTGATGCTATTGCAATGCAAGCTGAAGCTTTGGTATCTGGAACAAATACGTAAGTATCTTGTAATATGGCATAAAATTTAGAAGTTTTATTTCCTCCCCTGCCCAGCAAATAAAAAGGATATCTAAAAACTTGGAATAGCTCTAAGGCATTTTGTAATGTACTTTAAAAATTCATTTTTTGAAATTTATTGAATCAGTTCTCTGATAGGTATTGTCTACCAAATATATCTGACAGTAGTGTTGATAATAATAATACCCGTGCATATATAAATAATAGTAACACAATGAAGATGTTTGCACCTCTAAGCATATGTTACTGATTGATTGCAACTGAGATTCTGTGGCATTTATTTAAAAAATTAATAATAATAATAAATACATAATATAAGAATTAATAACAGTACCCTCGAATGAATTACCTTCAATGCCTTTGATTTAACAATAATTTTAGGATGTGACTACTGTAGCCACTGCTTGTAGCTGGTATATATAGCATTTCACATTCTTGAATACTGTTTCACAGTGTCAAATAAGTGCCATTGAAATTGTTAATGTGCCTTCAAATCTCTGGCAGATTGGTTTATGATATCCTAGTATAATGGATTTCAAGTTTAACAGATCGTAGATTGATGGTTAAATTTAACTCGCAAAAATTTTGATTGAATATTAACCAGGGGTTGGCAGAAGTCAGCCGGTGGGCAAGTTTATAAATTCTAACATAATTCTCAAAAGTCTAATTTCTTGAATTTGGGCCCATTAGCAGCCAAGTGGTAACGTTGATCCCAATGAACAGGGTTGCTGCATGAGCACTTTCTTGGTTTTCTAGTCCATTTTGCTGTGAATTTCAGCTAGTTTCCAATAGGAGGTGATCCACAAAGCAGGTAGCTTCTTCAAGCTTTGTTGTAATCAAATAAACCTGAAGCAATCATATGTTTCAACATCTTCTAAAAAGAAGTGTTGCATTCAACATCTGTGTTGGGGATAAGACAATTTGTGCCATTTCATAAATGTCAGAAAATTGTTTATTTTTGTATTACCGTATATACTCGCGTATACGTCGATACCGCGTATAAGTCGACCCCCCACTTCCGAAATCGATCGAGAAACTTTGGAAAATATTTTTTAAATACTACATTTATTCAAAATCATCTGAGGGAAAAAAAAAAGTAAATATACGATAAAAAATACCTTGGTAAATAAACAAAATCAAAATCCTTCAATGTCCGATTCATGGTCAGATTCACCAAACATTTCATAGAACTCTTCTGTCGTCATCGGCTCGTTATCATACATATTTTTAGTCTCGAACTCTGTATTGTTACAATCACTACTAGAGCCTTCGTCGTCATTTTCACTTTCAAAAACAGCATCATCTTCCGTGCCGTATAGTTTGTTGCTAATACAACATTTTTTAAATGATTTGATAATCATTTCAGAGGGTATTTCGTTCCAAGCATCTTTAACCCACTGAGCAATTAATGTAATATCGGGCTTTTTAATGTTGCCTCCCTTTGTAAATGTTGGTCAACCGGAACTAATCCACTCTGCCCAATATTTTCTAACATTTACTTTGAAGGGCTTATTAAGGCAGACATCTAGGGGTTGAATGACGGATGTCAATCCTCCCGGAATTACGGCCACAGTCGTTTTTAGGTGTTTTGTCACTTCTTCAGAAAAGTGTCCATTGAAAGAATCGTATGCTAAAAGAGAAGGTTTTTTGAAAGCTATGTGATTAGTTCGTCACATAATTTAAGTCATGAAATTACTTCAAGTAAGGGACTTATTTGATAAGTCGTCCAATTTGAGTGCAGGAAGAAAACAACTGCATTATATAAAGAAATTTTTGAATTTCCGATTCTTTTAATTTTTTATGGCCCCGCGTATAAGTCGACCCCCCACTTTGAAGTCTTTTTTTTGTCCAAAATATCTCGACTTATACGCACGCGGGTATATACGGTAAATGTTTGAACACTGTAAACTTTATAGAATAAATAGTCAGGTGTGAAATGAAATGATATATTATATTTATATATTTTGTGTAAATTTTATACAATTAAATATTTCTGTTTTAAATATTTTAATAATTCTTTGAAATGAAAATAGAACAAGTAAAAGCAATTTAAATTTTATTCTTATGCAGCGAAGCAGGACACATTCACCACCATCATATACATCAACATCATTATCATCATCCGCCTCCTCCAAGATTGCATCATTTTAGTGTGCCATCTGTTATTGGTCTTCCAACAGGAATGGTGAGATTTTTCAATTATTTTCAGTGCTACCATTATTAAAATGAGTTATATATTGATTCATGTAATACACGATGCAGTTCAATTCTCTTTCATACATCTATTGAGGCAAAGTTGAATTTTTCTGCCAATGTTGCCAAATCATGTAATTTTTTTATAAATTTGCTGCTTTTGACAAACCTATGGGTATTAAGATTTATGTCTTAAGTGATTTTTGTGAATTTTCTGCTTTTCCCTCGTATTCTTCTGCTGCTTTATGCTATTTAAAAAATTTTTATTGTATCATAAAATTGTACATGTTTAAATAATGTATCAATGAAAATTAAGTTATGAAAAATGTAAAAATTATTTAAACTTAACTAAAATTGCCACTTGGAACATGAGTGTATTTAGACTCAGTTTTCAGTCCTAGATAGTGTTTTTTTTTCCATGTGTTTGCTTAATTTCATTTGAATATTTTAATGATCTGTGAGTAGGCTTTCAGAATTACAGTATATTTGCTGTCTTAACTAAAATGGGAATTTTGAGTCCCCCCCTCAAAAAAAAAACCCTAGGACTGCCTTTCAGTATACTTGATTTAACATATTCATGCTTGATGATTGGCTAAAAGGGATGAAAACAGCCAAGGCAAAAGCTTATTGCAAGCTGTGTAAATATTTACACATAAAACTAATTTAATGAAGCACAATACTTTTTTAAAGCATAAGCAAAATTTGTACCTAATCCTATCTTAGAACAATTTAAAATTGTATTTCAAATTGTGAACAGCATAAATCACTTTGAGAAGGCGAAATGCACAGCATCTGTAAAGAAAATCACTTCATCTCAATTGCTGAAAGAACAAATAACATAAGTTGTCTTTTTCTCTTAATACAAGATGACGAAATTTTGTTAATGGTGTAGTATGCAATCAACTGCTTCTAGTTATTTGCCTTTGACATGTGCCATTAAAATTCATTTATTGTTTTAATTTTTTTCTTGTCATTTTATTGCAAGTTCAAATATGAAAACTATTAATTTTTTTTTTTTATTTTATGAAGCCATTATTATTGAATTATCAAGTTGTTGAAATTTTAATTTAAGGGCTGTTACACAGGTGTTTCTAAATGAATATCAGGGTTTTAACGCTTTGTAGTATTTATTACGTAAAATTTAAAATCGTAACTAATACATGAAATGAAAGAGTGACTCAGCTGTTCTCTTTGTTGGTATGTGAATCGTAACTAATAAACGAAATGAAAGAGCAACTCAACCGTTCTGTTTGTTGGTACGTGCATGCTCCAAAAAGTGCTAGTAGCAAAAATGGCGACTAGTGAACAGAAAGCTTTTTGTGTTCTACAATTTGCAAAGACCGAATCTGTAGTTGCTATGCAAATGTGCATTCCAGATTAAGTTCAGATGTGACTCGCCAAGTAGATGATATCATCAGTTTGAAAATACAGGCTGCCTTTGCAGAGGGAAGAGTATGGGATGACCAAGGGTTAGTGAGGAGAGTGATAAGCGAGTGAGAGAGTCTAAAAGCGCATAGCCCAAAGAAATCAGTTCGGAAGGCTAGTCGTAAATTAGCAATTCCAGTGACGACTGTTTAGAAAGTTTTATGGAAACTCTAGGCTAGTCGTAAATTAGCAATTCCAGTGACGACTGTTTAGAAAGTTTTATGGAAACTCTTACAACTATGCCCTTATCGTTTTCAGTTAGTACAGAAGCTTATACACCATGGTTTATGTGCCAACTTTACACATGAAATGTTGTTGCACGAGGATTTTCTGGATCGTGTTGTTTTCAGTGATGAATCGACATTTCACCTCAGTGGACGTGTGAACACTCATAATGTGCGTATCTGTGGCTCAGAAAATCCTCATGAGATGGTACAGTTGCAACAAGACTCCCCTAAATTGAACGTCTTTTTGTGCCATATCTCAGTGGAAAGTGTATGGGCCTTTTTTCTTTGGAGAAGCAGCTGTAACTGTACCTCCTATCTTGATGCTGTTCAACTATGGCTATTTTCCCAAATGGTGGAAGACTAACCAAATAACTTCATTTGGCAGCAAGATGGTGCAACGCCTCACTGGCATAATGACATATGCGGTTTGTTGAACATCATTGTACCTGACCCCTGGATTGGCTGCAAAGGGCCCAATGACAGAGCTTGTTTCACATGACCTCCACACTCACCCAATCTGACGCCATGTGATTTCTACCTGTAGGGGTTCATAAAAGCTTGTGTGCCTCCACTACCAGCTGACCTACTTGACCTAAGGCAGCTGTTGCAACAGTTACACCACGAACACTAATTAACGTTTGGCAAGAACTGGGCTATCATATTGATGTGTGCCATGTTGCAAAAGATGCTCACATTAAACGCTTGTAAGCTTTTAGGTATAACTGTTTGAGTTGCTCTTTCATTTTATGTATCAATTAAAATTTTAAAATTTATGTAATAAATAATACAAAATGTTAAAACCCCGATATTCATTTAGAAACACCCTGTACTAATTACAGTACAAAGTCTGTAATCCGGAATGATCTATAATCTGGACCTCAAAGCTACAAACTTTATGTGCATGCGTTAGGCGTTTAATGTATAACGGACGGTTAAGGCTAGGCTAAAATTATCTAAAGCATTTCAGTCAATGTTGCAGATTAATCTTCTAATTGGATCCGGCTTATTATTTTTTGCAGTCTGTTAGAACAATTTTATAAAAATTAAGCTTGAACTTTCGATTATGTCAAAAAGAGTTTCCAATTCTGGAGCTGCCAAAGGATCTACAAAGCGAAAGCATGTTTCGATGTCCATTGAACAAAAGGTGGAATTAGTACAAAAAATGGATAAAGGAAGATCCATCTCAAAATTATGTGAGAAGTATGGCATTGGAAAGTCCACTATATATGACACAAGAAAAAGGAACTTTTTGAATTTTTTGTGGAAGCATCTTAAACAACTTACATTGAAAGAAATGTTTAATAAAGTAAACAAATAAATATTAAGCCTTTTTTTTTTTGTAAATTTTGATACCCTTTAGATCATAATTGTTCTTTATTTCATAAATTATGATTTCATATTTTTAATTGTATCAATTCTGCATGCCATCTTACCAGATTTAAATTGATGATCTATAATCCAGAAAAACCCCTAATCCGGAATCGCCGACGTCCCAAAGAGTCCGGATTATGGACTTTGTATTGTAATAGATCATTTCCATTCATGTATTCTTAATTATTGTATTTATTTTCATAGTATAAAATAGCATTTTAGTAGCGCCATTTAAAAAAATTAACTGATATCAAAAGCGGTAGATCACATACTGCATCATTACCCAAGTTTCATGTTGTAAGTATTATTAAATGCACTTATAAGCACTGTGCTGCACTATTAAATGCACTTATAAGCACTGTGTGTTGTAAGCACTTATTGTAAGCATTATTAAAACGAAGAATAAAATATTGATAAAGATTTTAAGGCTTGCTAAAGTTATAGACTTAAAAATTAAAGTAGCATCATATTTCTAACTATCAGCTTAAATAAATGTAGCAATGAAAGAACATAACTTTTATTAATAATCAGAACTAAAAATGAAATGAAAAGCATAAATATATAAAGTGAGCAAGAAACAGTGAATGAAGAAAGTAAATCGAAAATTCAAAAGAATAGGTCTATGTATAGAACAATCCAAGTGTGAGGAAATGTCAGGCAATGGATATGATCAAATTAAGAGAAAAATAACCTGAATTAACTTAAAGAAATCCAGTAAATGGAAATTCAAACAGTGGGAAATTAGTAATATAATTTTAAGATTCTTTTCAAAACTTATATGCATAATAATAAAACTGAATAATGATGACAGCAGAGACAATGTGACATTATTCTTTTTGATTCTTCTCTGCAACTTCAGCTACTATTTTGTGACGACACTGGCTGTTGGGCAATCTGTCGTATCTGATTTGAAATGCTAAAATTAAAATTTTAAAAGTTGCTAAATAATTATAAAGCTAGTAGCACAACAACCTTGAGTTTGGCATAGATCAGGTTGTTGTGTTACTTATTTTATGTTTCACTTGGCATGTTTCTCTTCTACTTTAATAAATAGTATTAGAATACTACAGAACGTAATTGAATGGAATGTCTTTAGTCTTGATGTTATGAATCTTGTGTCTCATTTTACTCTGAATGTAAAATATGCAATATTCTTTGTATTGTTCAGAGTTTTGAAATTTATTCTCAGCAGTAGTTTAATAGTTTTCAATATTTGTGTTTTCATTTTGTAATTTTGTTTAAATATGCATTGAAGTTTAGTATTTTTTAAAGTTTCTGTTCCATTTATGTATATAAATAATTTCATATGTGAGTTAATATTTTTAACTGTATAAATCATGACTTTTCTTTCATACATAAAAGGAAGAAAATTTTATCTGTATATGCCAAAATCTAAATAGTTGAATAAGAAACAATGTAATATCAGATTATTAGCACATCCAATGTGACAGTTTAATTTCTAATCCCCGAATGTATTTTGTATTTAATATACAATTTCAACAAATTATGTCAGGATGATTAATTTTTTCTGTAAAAAAAGATTATATTAATATTCCTCAGACATATTAAATCATTATCCTTGCTTTATATATTTTCTTGATTCAGGTAGTTTAAAAAAGAATACAACATGAAGTCCAAAAATCATATATCCAATATCCAGAATGATCTAAAATTTAGACCTTCCAACCACATGCAGTTTTTTTAAGAAATTTGTTTGCTAAAAGGAAAAAGAATTAGATTCGGAGAGTAGCATGTTTCAAATAAAGACATTTAATGATAATAAATAGTTTTAAAAGTATTCATTAACTAAAATATAGGCCCTATTATAATTTTGGTCAAAAGTGTTTGTAAAAAGTACAGCCTATATAGGCATAAATGTGTGCATTTTCTAATTTTCAAAGTAAATGACTTTTTTCGCCTATTTTCATTACAATTTAATTTACTAAAAAATGTTTGTATATATGTATTTTAATTTATATAATTGAAGCCTGTAGTATTCGTGAATATATTCAAAAGTATATTGTCCTCTTTTTCAAGCCTATGAGTATTAGGCCTCCTGATATATTTAGCTTGCCTCAATTGACTGAGCTTCCTCCTACTCCACCAATGTTCCACCATTACATACCTGTGCTGCCGCGCCAAGTGCATGCTAGGCTAGAAGTGAGTGTATGTCTTACTTAGTTATATTAGTTCTCAAAATAAGTTAGTTATATGTCTAAAATTCGAGGAAAAAGCATTCATTGGCATAAATTTTGTTTTATTTAAAATCTGCACTAATCCAAATTTGTGTTTTTTTGGCCTAATTTTAAATTCTGCATTAGTGTATTTCTCTTCCACCAAGTTATGTATATGAATTGGCTACTTATTTCTGTGATTTTATTGTAAAAAATGTGAAACTATGACTTATGTTGTATAAAAGTTAAGCAAAACATGTTTTTTGTGGATAGTATTGGACAAATTAAAAAGGAAGATAAGATAAATGTACTAGCTTTACAAAAATGTCTGATGTATAATTTGTTTTGAATTCTTGATAAGTCAAATTCAGTGGATGATTTATCATAACATCAGAATATCAGAAGTGCCAAAATTTATCAATAAGCATATTTGGTAATATCTTAACTTTCATTGAAAGCTAGCTCCTTGAAGGCTTTTGCCTTTAGCTAAAAAGGCTAAAGAAAAGCATAAAATATTTTCTTTAGCTTTAAAATCATTAGTTTTGTAAATAAAAAAAAAAAAAACAAAAAAAAACAAAACATGATGTTGTTAGCTTTGTAAATAAAGAAATCACAGCTTTGTTAACCACTCTGTGCATTTCATTCGTGTTTAAAGATAAAACATGGTTTTCTTTCTTTAGAATCAGTATTGCTATTCAATTTTTATCGATTTATGTATTTATTTTCCAAATGTTTTTGTCAGTGTTAAAAATTTGGTTTTGGAATTTTTATCAGCAGTTATCATTTAAGAATTTTTATCATCAGTCAGTATTGAATTATTCACTGAATTAGATTAACAGAAATCACATCTTTCTAATTAGTTTTTTTATAGTGATTTGTGTTATGTCATTGCAAGCAGGTTGATTGCTGCCAGCTAATTATACTTTTTTAATTGAAGTGAAATTAAATGAAATCGACCGAAATTAGAATGAAAATCAACAGTTTCTTCTTTTTTTGCATGAAATACTGAACCTTCCTCTCCCTGCCCCTCTTTTTAAGTGGTGTATATTTGTGCCTTTTTTGTTTGGACGTCATGCAAAGAACTTATTTTCTTGAAACATTTTAATATTTATATATGTATACACTGAAGAGCCAAAACATTATGACCACCTACTCAATAATGCGTTGTGTGACCTTTGACCAGTAAAAAGCTACAACTCGCCTTGGAATGGATGCCACAAGTTCTTAGTAGATGACTGGAGAGAGGTTGTACCAAATGTCTAAGCAGTGGGTGCGCAATGTTGAGGTATTCCGACATCCTGAATGTGCTCTATTGGGTTAAGATCCGGCGAGTTACGTGGCCAGGACATTAATTAGAATTCATCCTTATGCTTCTCAAACCACTCCATCACAATTTGAACCTTATGACATGGGGCATTGTCCTGCTGGAAGATTCCATTTCCAGTTGGGAAAATGGATGTCATATGTGGGTGCATCTGATCTGCATTTATGTTCAGATAGTCTGCAGCTTTCATGGTCTGTACTTCCACAACTAAGGGTCACAGAGCCTCTCGTAAGAACGCACCCAAAGCATAATACCACCACCAGCAGCCTGTGTATGACTTGCTACATAGGAGAGGAGTAACTGTTCGTCTGAAAGACAGCGTACTCTGAAACGACTATCAGCATAATGAATGAAAAATTATGATTCATCCAACTAAGGCAACTGTCCTCCACTTATCCATGGTCCAAACTGAATGTTCCCGGGCACACTGTAGGCATAGTCTCCAGTAATACTCGGTTAGCAGAGCCATGTGAGTGGGACATCTGCTGTGCAGTCCTTGATCCAACAGTATCTGCTGAACTATGAGGTGTATTCGGAAACTAAGTACTGTTTTGAAAAAAAAAAAAAAAAAAAAAAAAAAAAAGTAAAACAATTTTTTCGAATCCAATTTTATTTTTACATGAAAATACATGTCTTAAACTATTTTTCAACATAGTTTCCGCCAATGATCAAACACTTGTCGTAGTGGGTGACCAGTTTTTGTATACCATCGTCAAAGAAACTTCCCGCCAGTTTCGATAACCACGACTCCAAAGCATTTTTCGTGTCATCGTCAGATCCAAAGCGCTTGCCACCAAGCTCGCGCTTCATGTGCAGGAACAAGTGATAGTCGGACGGCGCCAAGTCCGGGCTGTACGGCAGGTGATCGAACTGCTCCCAATGAAACTGTCGAATTAATGATTGAGTGACACCAGCAGTATGGGGCCGAGCATTGTCATGGAGCAACAAAATTCCTTTACTGAGCATTCCTCTTCATTTGTTTTGAATGGCACGCCTTAGTTTTGTTAAAGTCTCACAATATCGTGCCGCATTAATGGTTTCACCTCTGGGAAAAAATTCAGTAAGCAAAACGCCTTTCCTATCCCAGAAGACAGTGCACATGATTTTTTGTGATGACATTGTCACTTTGAACTTTTGTTTTTTCGGAGAATGAGTATGTCTCCACTCCATCGATTGTTGTTTCAATTATAGTGTGAAATGACACACCCAAGTTTCATCACCTGTCACAATTTGGTTTAAAAAGTTTTCTCCCTCATCACTGTACCGCATGAGAAATATCAGGGCACTACCAAGTCGCTTTGTTTTGTGAACATCAGTGAGCAATGGAACCCGTCGGGAACACAGTTTGCAATAATTCAAGCGGTCAGACACAATTTCGAACAAAACAGTACGTGAAATTTGAGGAAATGCCTCTGAAAGAGTTGTCATTGTGAAGCGTCTGTTCTCATGAATTGCTTCATCAACTTTCCTTACCAAATCATCGGTGACAACAGAAGGCCGACCACTCCGAGCCTCGGCGTGGACATTTGTTCGACCTGCATTAAACATTCTTACGCACTTTCTCACCATTCCATCACTTATCGCGTATTCACCGTAAACTTCTGTCATTTGATGATAAATTTCGGCCGGTTTAACATTCCTCGCGTTCAAAAATTTAATCACGGCACGAATCTCGTAGTCAGCGGGAGAACTAATTGTCTTAAACATTTTGAATGTGCACAGCAAACTGAAAACACAACATAGAGCAACCAAAATGGCGACAACTGAAAGTCAGTGAACAAGAAAGACTAGTGCGCATGTGCGGGACGCCTACCACAGCACTGCGACGGTGCTAGAATGAAATGGTACTTAGTTTCCGAATACGCTATGTATGTGTTCTAAAACACTTGCATTTGGACCTATATTGCATTAGGCTATCAGCTGAGCCACTGATTTTGCTGTAGCAAGTGGTGCAGTTTCTGACATCCTTCTTCTTTGATGATGCATAGATGTCGAACACCTTCGCTTCTGTCGATGGTTTCACCATCATTTATCCACTTTGTATAAATACTAGCAATGGCAGATCGTGAACAACCTACCAGTCGTTCAGTTTCAGAGATACTCATTCCGAGTCTTCGGGCCATTACAATCTGCCCTCTATCGAATTCGCTTAGATCAGCAACCTTTCCCATTATTTGTGAAAAGTGCAGGAATGATTCCTTACCTTCTCCGGCAGCAGTTAAATACCATTCCCCCTTATGTGCCCTCGTCATTCAGCTGAGTTCATTGAAAAATATGGGGATAATCAATGTTTTGGCTCGTCGGTATAGTATTATTTATTTATAACCAAAAGGTGATTTTTCTGATTTAGAAGCATCTGCTTCTGCACCATAGTAAAAGATCTTTACTTAGCTTTCTACCAGGACATAATTTCCCTCAAAAGCATTTTGGTCTTGTTTGGGGAGGCTCCTATTTCACTGAAAATGAAAATTTGATGATATGTTTGATGGTGGCTATATCCTTTTGTTGATGTGGCCATCAAACATGAGAGTGAACAGTCGGGTATCTGAGGAACTAGGAATATCAGCTATGATATGTTGCCTCATTTCCTGCCTTTTAGTGTAAGGTTTATGATAGACATGATCTTTAACATATAGAATCAAAGGAAAAAATGTAGTGCAGTGATGTCTGGAGAGTGAGGAGGCCATCGAATTGGGACTATGATTGTTGGACCATGTGTTTGGTAAAATGCTCATCTAGGCAATTATGTACACACATTTAGTAAAGTAAAGGCACAACACCTTACTTGAAAATAACACTGTCATATCTTTTGATCTAAGATAATGAACATTTCTAATATATCCATTTGTATTGTTTTTGTAGAAGAAAGAGTTAGTTATCTTTTTGATAAGATGTGCTACGTGTTAACTTTAGAATCGCAGAATTACTTCAACTGAAACAAATAGTAATTTTCTGTTTCGCATCTGACAGTTGTGATGATTTATGTTACGTGATATATAAAATGGAGATTCATCATGAAATAAAACAGTCTTGAAAAAGTTTTTGTTATTTTCAACTCTACATATTCAGCGGAAACTCTTATTATACATTGGGATTAAATGGAAACATCTTATGCATTTTTTGAGTTTTATCTGAATTAAGCTGTAGTTTCTTGTGCAAAATATTATGAACTCCCGTAATGCACTGTTTTCTACATTGTGCCTACATTTGCATTTCCTTGGGCTTCTTGGAAACTGTCATGTTGAACCATCTTACTGCTTATACCTGACCTACTAGCTCCTCCGCAATGTAATATGCTCTGAATTTCTTTAAATAGTTTCATCCACTGCTTAATTAAATTATCTCAGAGAATCAGAATAATGTTCTACTCAGTACCATCTTTAACCCCTTCGCACCGACTGTCACGTATACGTGCCAGCAACCAACACACTTATCTACCGGCCGACACGCAGGCGTGCCAGAGCATTGTTGCATTTACTACCGACTGTCACGTATTTGTGCCAGTACCTTGGAATGTTTTTCAAACTATAATTTCTGCCACAAGATGGCACTGTATGTCCATATGGTTTTAGATACATGTACATTAGACCTTCTACTCGAAATGAGAGAAGCATGACTCACATACATGTGTTTTTGATTATATAAACAAACGGGGAACTAAATGTTTCCGAATGGCGTGATTTATGACGTCTCTTTAAATCGCACTTTATTCGCACGTGGTAGTTGTTTATTGTAAGTAGAAGTTTTATATGTGCTAAAGCATTTAGTATTTCGGTTTACAGTTCAGTTTTTAGAAAATAATTAGATCTTGTTAGACGTGAATTCTTTCTGTTTTTACCATTTCAATGTCAAAGCGTCGAAAATGTTTAACAGAGCATGAAATAGATTTCAGGTATTGATTCTGAAAGAAACTGAAGATTCCAAACTGTAGAAACGATAGAAATGGGAAGTCTTGAACTAAACCCCAAGGAAAGGATACGTTAAGGATAAGCAGATTTTAATTTTTGAGATTAGCGCAAATGAAAGAGAAGCAAAAACATGGTATTGGGTTGGCAACTAAGTAATTGCGGATTTCACTCATAGATGGCTTCAGTTGAATTTTTAGGGTTGCAGACGTAGTACAAATGTAAAACACATTTTGTTATTTGATAGTTGGCAATTCAGCTGTCAATCAGTAAAAAAGTTTTTTGATCGGTTGCGTAGTTTTCGTTTGGCGTTCGTTGAAAAATGGAAAATCAAAAGGAACATTTTCGTCATATTTTCTTTTTTATTTCCGCAAAGGGAAAAACGCATCGCAAGCTCATAAAAAGTTATGTGCTGTTTATGGTGACGAAGCCTTAAAAGAACGGCAGTGTCAAAATTGGTTTGCCAAATTTCGTTCTGGTGATTTTTCACTCAAAGATGAAAAACGCTCTGGTCGTCCAGTTGAAGTTGATGACGACCTAATCAAAGCAATAATCGATTCGGATCGTCACAGTACAACACGTGAGATTGCAGAGAAGCTTCATGTATCACATACATGCATTGAAAATCACTTAAAACAACTTGGCTATGTTCAAAAACTCGATACATGGGTTCCTCACGAACTGAAAGAAACGCATTTAACGCAACGCATTAACAGCTGCGATTTGCTAAAGAAACGTAATGAAAATGATCCATTTTTAAAACGACTGATAACTGGCGATGAAAAATGGGTTGTTTACAACAATATCAAGCGGAAAAGATCGTGGAGCAGGCCAGGTGAACCAACTCAAACAACATCAAAAGCTGATATTCATCAAAAGAAGGTTTTGTTATCAGTTTGGTGGGATTACAAAGGAATTGTCTACTTTGAACTCTTACCACCCAACCGAACGATCAATTCTGATGTCTACATTGAACAACTAACGAAATTAAACAATGCAGTTGAAGAAAAGCGGCCCGAATTGACAAATCAAAAAGGTGTTGTATTCCATCATGACAATGCAAGGCCACACAACACCTGCTAAATTAGCCATGATGCTGTTCTGTGCATTGTCCATATGAAAGTTTCTAGTCACTTGCATTTTGACTTTCAGCCTGTTGTAATCAAATATTAAATCTTCTTGTATGTAGAATAACTATGTGGAAAAATATTTTGATCTAGAATGGTGATGTTCCATGCAGTTTGTGTGGACTTAACGTTTAAGCAGTAGCACCACATTTATTTGCATATTCCTCTATCTGACTCTTTCAGCATATGATTTAGAAACTTCTTATTTATGTTAAGCACATAAAAAATTCCACTAATGAGAAGGTGCACAATATAAGTAAAAAAGAATATTATTGAAATTAATAATGTTAACTGACTTCTTTGAAATACATAATACACTAATATTAGTACATTTATTGATATATACTTTCTAATATTATGTGTCCTCTTCATAGTTATCCTAGTGTATAATTATCCTTTCTTGATTTACAAAAGGTAAAATTAGTAAAAATGCAGAAAATATATGTGTTAGGGATGTTCAGGACAATCTGTAAACTTTTTCAGAAACACATTTGGCTAAGATTTCTGTATGTATTGGCAGGAATGTATGTTCTTATGGTGAAAGTCTACTTTAAAGTGCAAATCAGCAATATTGTAGAGAATTTTTAATTGTTTTAGAATTATATTTGTTTGCAAATATGTAAAATATCTAAAATATGAGATTGGCAAGGAAAGAAACATTAAATAGGATTTTTGAAAGTATTTCAAAACTATTGCAAAACGTATTACCAGAAACTGTTGATAAATGTTGCAGATTATTTCAAATTATGTAGCATCATCATTACTTCCCTCTTTTTAATAAAGTAGACAAAACTGTGAGATGGAGGAAAATTTTTTTCATAAATTATTTCTTATCAGACCTTCCTGTGCTCTCAAAATAAACAATGAGGTTTAAATGCAAAATCCCATTAGTTGTCATAAAAATTAAAACCTATTTCAGGCATGATTCTCAAAATTTTCATTTTACTGGTGAGAAAGAAGAGGAATTTCGACTGTACAGTGGGTGTATTATTTTTGGAATTTTTTCTGCTCCCCTAAGTATGTTGTAAGCACAGCATGTCATTAATTAAATGTCTGTTAACTTTCATGCTTTTTTTAGGACTATATGCGAATCGTTGATCAGCGAAGAATGGCTGCAAATCGTGGTGCATCGCAAGCTACTATTGAACGAAACACATTGCCTCATAAATATAAAAAGGTAATTAATAAAGTTACAATTTTATTTCATTTTATTAGTTCCCCCACATCAAGCTATAACAAACTAAAATTTAATTTTTTATAGTTTTAATGGTTTTTAATATATATATTAAAATTTAATGGTTTTTAATAATATATATTAAATTTTTTTAAATTTTTAATGTGTATTAAAATTAAATTTTTTTTATTTAAGGTGCACTTGTATGAATTTTCTTGTGCTAGAGTATTTGTATGAATTCTCTTTAAACTTCCAGCTGGCCAAAAATTCGGTTTTGAAGCCCCAAAGTTCTCAAAACTGTCATGAGAAAAATATATTTGTTATTATTATTATTATTATTGTAATATCAAAATGCCCCTGGTACTTTATACATGATTTTTTTTATTTGATATGTTGCCTTAATTTCTTGCATTTCAAGATGCACATTTACTTAAAGGGATAACAAAATTTATTCTGGAATGTTTATTAAATGGCCTAGATGGGAGGGTAAAGAGGTATTTATATAAATTATCTTTCTAAACAGTTATCTTATTAATTTTTGTTGTGTAATGAATGTATTTTTCTTTTTCTTATTGAAACTACATATTACATATTGAAAGTACATAATAATATGGTTCTTGTGAAACACAGGTAGTGAAATGCAGTGAAAGTGATGACAATTTAGAAAAATGTACAATTTGCCTTTGTGAATTTGAAGATGATGAAGATGTTAGGTAAGTTGCTACATATACAATGTCTTTGATTGTTTGCATTTATTTCTTTGCTTTTCATGGTAACTCTGTTTTTCATATTGAATTTTAAATTAAATGAAAGTGATAAAATTGAAATTTTTTCATTGAAAAGTCTTCAGTTTTCTAAGCTACATGATTAAGCTTAATCGTTGATTATTATAATATGCCTTCTCTCATGTCTATTAAACTTGGAGCTCTGATGCACTAGTGGGGCAACTCCATTGTAGTTGCTGGTAGTTGACCAGGCTGTGTGTTAAACTGCACGTTGAACCAAAAACACATTTATTATAAATCTAAGAAAAGCTCTATCAATAAAAATTACAATTTATAACCAATATTAAGTATACAGAAGCAGTTATTTTGAAGGCAAGTATATTGTCTTCATTATGTGAGGATCTTGCTAACAGAAAATGCCTTTCTAAATGAGAGTTTCAGAGTATCCTGAGTACATACTTTGTCGGGAAAATTTGCAGGCTGTTTTAATTTTTTGGTTGTGTGTTATGGCCTCTGATTTGTTATAGTTGAAGACAGTATCAGAGGAGCTGCAGAACCATTGGTTGGTCGGCCTTCTGATTTTGAAAAGCTTTAATGGCAGATTGCAAAAAATCTTCTGATGCTGGCCATTAAATTATGACTTTTGTAATCTCAGGTGGATGCATTACTGGACAAGTTATTGCTTCTGTTATAGCAGAGCCATGCCATCTTGTACCTTGTAACAGCTCAAAGAATGTGACTTGTTAGGGTACCACATGTATGAATTTCTTATCTGTGTGGTCTGCTGCAAACTTTATTTTTTTCCCGTATGGTTGTTACGCTTTGTGTACTTCTGTAGCTAATAATTAAATAATTTTTAGCTATCACTTAATAACTTTTGCTCTCCACATTCCCGTCAAAAACTAGTATTAGTCTTGTTTTTTCACTTTGAAAAAGATACATTGTCATGTTTATTTTGAGGAACTTTTGAAGTTGTATATTTCAAATATATTTTCTGATATATCTTAGAACCAAAAAATTCTATCTAGATCTGAGCTCTAACTGTGTGAATAATAACTAGTAAATATTTATATGGTTTGTTAATAAATTCGACTCTAGTGTAGAATTGGGTTAGCAATATTGATTATCGATAATTTTTTTAAAAAACGACCCTTCGATTAGCGATAATTTTTTTTAAAAACATTTTGGCGATGAAACCTCATTTCTGGTTACCATGATAATTTTAATGTTTTAGCTTCCTGATTTTCTTTAAAGGAAAATAGATTGATGTGTATAAAGGCAATGTGCAATGCATAGTTTGTGCAATTCTGGGATGTTTTTTTAAGTGAAAACAGATTGATGTGTACATGGATGCAGAGTTTGTGCAATTGTTTGACTTTTTATTTTGGTTTTGTGTAGTGGCCATCTTGAAATTGTGTCTTCCTGGCGCCGATCTTGGCATCAAAAAAGAATCGCCAAAAACAAGGGGCACCAAATTGTAAACTTTTACCATAAATTCATCTTGAAACTTAAGAAAAACAATTTGATAGAGCTAATACTTTAGTATTTCCAGCAACTAAATGCTGACAAGTTTGCCTGAAGGTTGCCCAGTGTCTGAATTATTATTCATGTTCGTACTCCTGATGTGCAATATTAATTTGAGCCAGCTTCACTGAGAAAGTCCCCTGTAAAGGCCATAATGTACTATCCTAAGCCATACTGTGCTTTACTGTAATTGTATAATTCAGTAGTCCAGTTCACATTTGTTAGAACTTAGAAATGTCATTATATACTATGTATATATTATATCAAGAAATTATGGGTCAAATTATCAAGAAATATGAGTGCAAGTTGTTTGTATCTTAAGAACCTTCTATATGCATGCTAGTTGAGCTGATTGAACAGAGATAGTCAGAATGCAGAAAACTTATATCCTAGAAATCACTAGTCTCTCTTTGCTCAGACTTGAAAGGAGTTCCAATGATTTTCATGTGTGGAAAAGTACCTATTTCAAGTGCCATTTTTCCTTGAGCATTATTTTATTTACTTTAAAACAGAAATTTATTTTCGTGTATTGGACATACCGTTAATAGCATCGAATCCTTCGGAAATGAGTTCTTTCTTAATTTCATCTGTGGGGGCAGTCTGATGGTACACCTTTGTTAACAACATTTACAGATGTAACAGTGGCACTGTGTAGAATATAATGCTAAATGACATTTAATCTTAAATAATGTGCTATAGTATGATTATCCTCAGTGCTCAGCATGTATCCTCAGTTGACACGGGAAAAATTTTCAGAAATTCTTCCATAATGCTAATGATGAAAATACAATTACCTCATCTGTTTTTTTCTTTCTTTTTTTTTAATCACCAATAGTATTAACATCAATGTTTTTTTCAACAATTTCTGAAGGCAGGTAGTTTTGCTGGGGCAAATGAATGAATCCATCTTGGCTAATTTTGTCCTTGCCTTACTTTTGCAATATAAAGACTTTTTTCAAAGACTTTTTGCGATATAAGAGGGGGTACTATTTGACTTATCCATACCTTTTTTGACTTTATCAGAAAATAATAACTTTCTGGCGTCACTAAGTTTAACAATATCATTATTCTTATCACCAGGTTTAACACAATTATTACATAAATTACTGCATATACATTACATTCTTTTAAATTCTCGCACTTACCTCTCTTTCTTCCATTTCAAAAATCTACTTCATGATCATTTGTCTTCTGTATCCACATGAGAATTGTGGCTTAGGAATGCTTCACTAGCTATCCATGTTAAATCCGACATTATCGTCCATGTTTTTTAGAAAGTCCTCAGTGTTAATGAAATCCACCTGGTCAGATTTCTCTTTAGCAAGCAGATCTGCTAGTATATCATGTTTGTTGGCAGACTGTAATTCCAAGTCATTAATTAAATCATTTTCATTGTCTGATACTAAGTCATATCAATCATTTATTGTCATTGTCAAAACTTCCTTATGAAATATGTGGAGAATTTAATCACCTAATCGCAAAAAAAAGCGTTATTACGAAATTACGAGAATCGAAATGCAGTTGGCTGTAGAGCTAAAAATCCATGATGCTACTTATTCAGCTTCCAGACAGTATATTTTTTATGTAACTCTGTTCTGACTTGGATGATGCTAGATATAATAGCGTGAACAGATATGCAAATAGAAAAAGTAGGAAGATTTAGAATTCTATCTGCTGTCACAGGGGAGAAATAAAATACATTGTCGTTGAAGATCCATCAGATAATGTGAGCAAAGTGCTCACGTTCCACCTAACTGTTCATTTTACATGTTTTAAATGTGTTCACTTTGAATTTTATTGCCGATGTGTTTTTCATTTTAAAACGTAAATTTTTTATCTTTTAATACATTGATTTTTAAGATTTTTTTCTGATGACTGTATTATTTCAGGAGGTTACCTTGTATGCACTTGTTCCATATTGAATGCGTTGATCAGTGGCTGACTACTAACAAACGGTGTCCCATATGTCGAGTTGACATTGAAGATCATCTGAAAGACTTTGGCATTACTTCGTGATATTGCTCTTGCTATTCCAAATATTATGGCATAGTGCTAGGATTTAACTTGAATGTCGTCGAATGATGTTTTATATCTTATTGCACTAAACATTTCTACTTGATTGTTTTTCTACATTTTATAAGTGTATCATCTTCCAAGTAACTACGTTCAAATGTAACGAACCACAACGATGAGCTTAGTGGCATGAAAATATGTGTGTTATTAGCTGGGCTATATGGTGCATTACAATAGGGTTCCCATGTGTTTTAATTGCTAAATGTTTTAATTTCTGTAAGTATAAAATCTAATTTTAATTTGTATAAATTAGTTTTTAAAAGTATTCAAATAAATTTCTTTATATATTAAATTGTCATTATTTAAAATTAAATAAATTAATAAAAATACTGTTGAATTTTGCAGATAATTATGAATGTATATGTTTTTGCAAATTATTTTGAATAGAAATCTCAGATATTAGATTATAACTGAGATAGGTGGGAAAATGCTTATAAGATTGCATAAAAAATTCAGTTCTGTGATTTGGGAGCCCTATTTGTAGAATCCCAGTCCTGGTCTTGCTTACAGTATCAAGTGCTATTTCTGCATGTTGTAGGTAGTCTGTGCTATTTAATTGGCTAAAATTTGCTGATTGTGTAAAAATTATTCAAAAATGTAAAACTAATGCAAATTTTAAAATTTCATCAGAAAGCATAATTTTTTTTTAATATAGTTTATACATTTGTAGCTTGCTTTTTCATTTATGTTAAGACAAGTATTTTAGAATAATTGTATAATTACTTTATTAGGATTTGAATAGTCTTGTCATTTTCGTGTTTAAAAATATTCTTCCTTTTTCTTATTTATGAGAAAATTTCATCCATTTAAAATGGAATTCTTTTAACTTAGGACTTGAATGGATTCATGTCAAAAGTACTTTTTATCTGTGTGTTATTCAAAAGCTTCAAGATTGTAGGGTTTTCATGTTTAACACATATATTTGTTTATGTGTAGATGTTTCACGTTTTTTGACACCAAAAAATGCTTTATATAAATATTCAAACTATGTTCCTTTTTTGAATTAGAAAACTTCAGAAATGTGTATACTTCTCCTTCTAAGCAATTTTATTTTAAAAATTCTTCCTCCCATCTCTTTGTACAGTTTATATGCTTTACATGCAGTTTATAAAATTTTTTAAATTCCATGTTCAAAAGTAAAATGCAAAATTCAATTTATGGTTTGCTGCATTTGTAGACGTAACTCAGAGAGGGAAGGAGCTGGTAGTTCTTAATAATCTTTTAGTATAAACAGAGGACAATTGATTTTATTTTGTAGTTTTTCATTACCTGACTTTTTTATTATTATTCTTGGAAATTACAGAAGTAATTTTATTTTACTTTAAAAATTCTACTTTAGAATTATGTTCATGTAAATGGTATTCTCTGAGAAAATTTTTGGGATTAATATCTAGCAAATAATTAACAAATAACCCTATTGATCTGGCTCTTCAGGAGCATTTGAAAAGGAATGATAAATAGAGTATGAGTGTATGCATGTGATATATTTGTACATACATACATATGCTTTCCCACAATGTGTGTACATGTATATATATGTATATATCCATTTTCTATATCAGTGGTCTTAAACTCAAATTGCATTGAGACTGATTATACAATCTGAAAGCAACTGATGAACCAGATTTTAATTTAAAAAAAAAAAAAAAAAAAAAAAAACCTAATCAACAATATACTCATAAATATTTTAACTAAATTTTAATTTTGCTAGCTAAATATTTATCAAAATGTATATCAGTGATACACACACATAAAAAATAAAAAAATAAAAAGTTCAAATTTATATTTATTATTTGTCTAAAATCTAAATGTTGGTATCTACAATCACTATCACCACTAAATAAGTTACTCAAACTAAAAATAAATAAATTATGGAAACTTATTAAAGAAATCCTTTCTAGTGAGACAAAAATTAAGAATACATAATTTCAACCTTGTCTCTTTCATTAAAAAGTTTTGCAGCAAATATACATGTTTGTATGTTTAATTATAAATTCTTAATTTCTTACTTTAGCTTGACCCTTAAGGGCATTTTGATTCTTATAAAGTTTGTAGCCTTGAAAAAATTTATTAGAAATTATTTTCATTATGGATTGCAGATGCTCATCAGTCAGTTGGGTTCTTTTCTTGAAAAATTTATAACTCAGCAAATTTATCTTTTGAGAAGTATGAATGAAAAGTTAATCAATTCTGTTACTTGAAATCTTTGAATAAGATTTATAGCCCACTGTAAATTAATTAGCACCATTTATAGATTTTCTGGGGGATTGTTCACATTCATTATTAATAATAATGAAAATAATGTAAACTCTGACTTCAAATAACTAAAATCTTGAAACCATTGTAACAAGTACACAATTGAAATGTGTTCTCAGGTCATATAAAATTACTTCAGAAGTCATGAGTTTGAGGCCACTGTTTTATATCATTATATTGTATTGAATGATATTGTAACATTCTGAAAGGAAAATATTGAGTTCTTTTCTGAAAACAGCAAATCATATGTTATTGCCTGAAAATTTTATTTTCAAATTGCAAGAGTTGTATGCATATTTTGCTTTATCTATAAATAGTAGTATAAATATTATGTCAGAAAATGTGTGTGCACACGCAGTAAACCATCAATTCTTAAATTAGAGTAATTAAGTTCTGTAGTGGCTAATTGGCATAATTTTAAATATGGCCTGAATATTTACATATTTTCTTAAGAAATTTATTATTATGGTGATTACAAACTATTTTTATTATTACACAATTATTATTATGATTCTACAAACTTGCAATTAAGTCTAATCTAATAAGATCACATAAGCTTAAAGAAAATTTTGTATATGGTAGAATTTTAATCTAATGTTGCATTTTGCAATATTCATTGTAGAAATGTTATTTTTATACTAGAATTGAGAAGTTAAATGTGTTTCCTGCCTTTAATACTAATATAGAGTCTACTTTTATACCAGAATGGTACTTTGTGTGATTCCTAAAATGCTGTATATAAATATAAGATTTTATATTTAAAAAGAATTAAAATAGTACCAATAGTTAATACTATTATAATTCTTTCTAAATCTGAAGACAAATTCAGTTATTCATGATACTATAATTTATTCTTCATGATTGGGAAAATATTTGCAGACTTGCATTTTTATATGCTTTTACATAATTCACAAAGTTTAGAAGACAAATCTAGTAATATACTTAAATTATATTTATGTTCCAAATTTGTCTAATTTAATTAAATACAGGTTAAGCTAAGAAAACGTGATAATTTAGTGTTGCAATAATATAGATTAACAAATTTAGATCAATAACATTTAAATTTATTTATTATTTATTTAAAATCTGTAAAATTTGACTAAGATGGAATGTTGATTCTTTTAACTTGAAGTTTCTATATTTAATTTTTTATTCTGTTATTTAAAATAGCTTCAACAAGTGATATTGATATATAATTTTATGCTGTAGAGATACACATACATACCATATTTATTCACATTGCATTTTTACCATTTGGCACAAGGCTCTGAAAATATTTCAGATGTTCTAATTTTTTTTTCTTCCCCCTTTTTCAAGACATTCAGAAATCAGCCTTTCCTGAAGTTTGAAATTATTCATCCATGTAGAGTTTGTTTTCATCTTTGATTTGCGTATGGTGCATGATCTCTGATTGATGAAAAATATTTTTGGGGTGCATGATTTCTGATTGATGAGGGAATAATAACAAAGAGCTTCAGGACAGTGGGAATATTTAATGCTGATTGTAGTTCTGAAGATCATTATATGTGAAAAGACAGCCTAAATTGTGATGAAGAGGGTGACAACGATTTTCAAACTTTGACACATGACACGGGTAGCGGTTCCAGCAATATTAAATGGTTTTGAGGCCTAGTAAGGAAGCAGTGAACAAAAATAAGAACAGGCGAGATTTTAAGGTACAGGAAGTAAAAATTAAGATACTCAATGGTAGGAATGTTAATATCATGTATTCTTATTGGAACATATGCTGCTTTTAAATAAATAATATTGTGAGAGTTACCAATAGTTTATTCATCAGTACATTTCATTGTTATGTTCTTTTCGTAACCCCCTCAATTTTTGTATAATAAAATTAGTAAAAAAAAGAGGGGAATGCAGGAGTAAATAATGTATATATTACATGTGTAGGATAGAAGGCAAATATGAAATTATCTGAAATTTAATAGAATTTATGGGTACATTCCAAATAGTATTTTTGAATGTGTATAGAAAACATGCGAATATTTTAGCCTCCTCGAAGCGAAAACAGGAGAACATCTTGTGATTACCACTCCCTTAGGTAACCGATTCTTTAAATGATCAGTATTTAGTAGAACAATCAAGCTGGGAGAATTTAATTTTAGTTTATTAATGTAAAAAAACTATTTCAAGTTTTGGTATTTATTAACATTTTCTATACTTTTTGCTGTTTAATTTGTAAAACATTAAAAAAAAATAATCTATGTATATGTATTTTTGAGTTTTGGGAAGGAAGAAAGATGTCTTATGGAGATTTCATCTCATAAGCTTTCAAAAGGCTGTAGAAAAGAACCATTGGTGAACCAGAATGACTTGAATGTACATGAAGCAATGGAAATTTGTCTGGTTAAAGAAAGAAAAATATTTCAAAATTTTATCAACAGATGTCATTGCACTTATCATAACATGCTAATTAACCCTCTGAGCGTTACGGATTTAGCCCTGAAATTTCAAAGTTCCTCAAATTGTCATGAATAAGTGATATTTTCTTGATTTTAATTTAAAAAATGACTATCTCATTTTGTACCTTAACCCCTTCGAGCCGGGTAGCGAAAACGCGCGCTTATCGCTGAGGCCGGCAGTGTCTTACACGATCGTCTCTCCAGGGACGGGGGCTTTTTTGCTACTAAGCCTAAATCCATGAAATTTTCGAAGTATCAACGCATTGTTTAATAATGCTCTATAGAGTATTTAAACGGCTTATGCTTTATAAATATTTATATATATATACTTTAATTGCCTTATTTCTTGTTTAAATGCATATTTTACACATTTTATTTTAATTACTCACCATTTTATGAATTTTAACATTATACATCTGAAAACTAAATATATTACTTAAAATTCTCTTTTCGTATGAAAAATTTGAAAACATGGATCTACACACAGTCCTACGTTACATTCCTTGCACTCGTAATAACTCATTTGCCGTTTTGGAGGATTTTTCTAGGAATGTGAACAAACGAAGCATCGTCGTCTCATTTTCTTATCAGTCTCTTCTGAACTTTTGTAATGTTCAATTTGGAAAATGTCTTTCAGTTAATCTTTCAGAATCAATATCTGAAATATTTTGCATCATTTCTGCTATTTCATGCTCTGTTAAACATTTTTGACGCTTTGACATTGCAACGGTAAAAACAAAGAATTCACGTTTAACAAGATCTAATTATTTTCTAAAAACTGAACTGCAAACTGAAATACCCAACGCTTTAGAGCAAATAAAACTTCTCTACTTACAGTAAACAACTACCACGTGCGAATAAAGTGCGATTTAAAGAGACTTCATAAATCACGCCATTCGGAAACATTTATTTCCTCGTTTGTTTATATAATCAAAAACACGTGTATGTGAGTCATGCTTCTCTCATTTCGAGTAGAAGGTCTAATTTACGTGTATCTGAAACCATATGGACATACAGTGCCATCTTGTGGCAGAAATTATAGTTTGAAAAATGTTCCAAAGTACTGGCACAAATACGTTACAGTCGGTAGAGAATGCAACAATCCTCTGGCATGCCTGCGTGTCGGCCGGTAGGTAAGTGTGTTCGTTGCTGGCACGTATACGTGACAGTCGGCGCGAAGGGGTTAAATCCTTTTCTTGCAATATACATCCAAACCAAAATCAGATACATATAAAAGCTAGCAGAAATTTTCTTGTATAATGAATATAGAAGACAGCCTACGGAATTTTCCGGCCGTAATGCTGAGAGGGTTAAAAGACATGGCATTTGCTCCACATATTAGAAATACATCTAGGTCCTGTTCTGCATTGGAGAAGCTCATCATACCCTGTCAGTAAAGGATCAGGCTGTGCTTGTGAAGCATTTTTACAGGAATGCTACCTTTTGGTATATGGTGTGGCATGTCATGTCTTTAATTAATATATTAAGAGGAGTACAACACCATCTATTGGTCTTTTAATTAATATATTAAGAGGAGTACAACACCGTCTATTGATAAAATTTTGAACTATTTTTGTTCTTTGTTCAGATGAATTCCCATTGTTGCATGTATATTTGGATCTTTGTGACCAGCATTTTATTATTATTATTATTATTATTATTTGTTTACAGTTTAATTATAGTCACTGTGTTATACCCCTCCTAAATACCTGTAAAGTGTTAGGGGTTAGCAGATATTTATTTACTAGGTATCTTTTGTTGTATAATTGAGAAACGGCTCCTTATGAACACATAATAAATTTATTGAATGAACCTAATTAGAAATATATAAATGTTTTTGATAATGCAATCATTGCATGTTATCTATATTCTCCGAAAAGCAATAAAACCCTACATAATATATTTTTACTTTTTGGCTTAAATTAGTACTTTGACTGTTTACAATAGAATAAATCTAAGTATATTGTTTTTATTAATAATTTACTGTGTGTGCATATTTACACATATATAAGCTTGTCTGCACCTTACAAAAAAAGGGAATGGAAAACTATTATGTTTATTTAATAAAA